TGGTTCGTTACTCACAATATCAATCACTGGATAGTCTGGTCAAGACTTTATTACTTACAGGGCGCCATCATTTAGGTGGAATATTACTGGGTGCTGCATAAAAGAACAAACTTTTCATATATTGACACAACATAAAACGCATAATCAATGTTCACGCAATATGTTTTCTCGAAACACATCAAATGAGATTCGAACCCAAACGACAACACTGTTTGATTATCTTCGGCCTAAATACAAAGAACAACTTAAATTGATTATTGTGGCCATTTTGACAAATATTACACAATTTTGAATATGCATTTTCAAAGCATCTCCTTGGATTCAATTTTATACCATGCTTCGGCTAGCTACAACATTACTGATGCAGCGTAAATATTCACACACCAGTTTCAGTTCCCCCATCTCACAAAAACAACCTTTTGATGAGAAAAAGAATGCTTGAATTGAGAAATTTAGAGAGGGCACCTGTTGTTTTGGAATTTATGGAGAACCTAAAAACATAGGTAATATGGTAAGTATACACTTTGGGCAAAATAGATAAATAGGTTCTTGTGTGTCAGGTAGCCCCTATCAACCCACTGTTTCACTTGTGACCCAAATGGGTTTTTTCACAGCCGTCAAGAATCCCACAAGCCCATTTGGGGAGAAAATCTGACATTTCCATATATTATTATTGCTGCAGCTATTTTGACCTACAAGTTTAAGAAACATCCGTTATAAAAAAAGCCATCTATGTCAAGCATAATATTACAAAAATATTTTTTAAAAACAAACCCTTCCACTGACCCATGCATACCTGTAGGAACCATGCTACCTGAAGTGTTCTTTTTTTTATTTGGCGTATGTGCCTTCAATATGCATTCAAAAGCCCATGCCCGTAACAGTTATGTCTTGAATCAGGCTATCAAGCCAATGCTTCAGATTTAAATGGCTTCCAAGTGAAGACCTTCAATTGACATGTGAGGAAACATCTGTACAAGGCTGACAATGTTCCCCATCACTCGGTGTGGCTGGGAATATTCAGTACAGAAAACTTTGGCTATACACTATTCATCCTAATGAATGAGTGAGTGTGGTTTTACCCCTGCCTTTAGCAATATTACAGCAATATCATGACGGGACATCAGAATCACCATAATGAGCACCCTTGTCAACGTTTAACTCGTAGTATTAGATGCCTATGTACTGTTCAGAAAATATTTATAAAGGGTGCATCTCTTTTTCTTGATTTATCAGTTTGACGTCGCATTCAGGATTATTGCACGTACGTGCGTTCATGTGTGTGTGTGGTGTGCAGAGCTCCAGATAAGCTGCGTATCTGCGTGACATACGCATCAGAAATGCAGAAATACGCAGTAAAATATAATCCAAGCGTATCAAATACGCAACGAACATTACAGATACGCTACAAAAATAACATTTGTGCGTATCATCAAAATCATGTAAAGGAACCCTGCGTATTCGATTAGCAAATCAGCAACTTATTTTGAAATTATAAACTGGCATTCCGTCAACCTTGCCAAACTCCACGATGACAGTCACATCATGATCATTTGCCATCACACTTTCGTGTGGAAGTATCGTGGTATTTTTGAGTCCTATAAAGCTCTCAAACCCACACGACACCAGTTTGAATGATGAATAGTGTTTTTAAATATTTAACTTAAATACCCACATGTGTAAAAACTAGTGGGTAACAGCAATTTGAATACGCAGATAGAATTACTGATACCCAATGATTTTAAAATGCATGGGTAAAATACCCACAACACCAAAAGCTTATCTGGAGCTCTGGGTGTGGCTGCTTACACTAGCTGCTTACACCGATTTTATAGTGCAAGACCACTGAGATACCATGCCGCAGTTTAGCATGAGTACCACACTCAGGCTGTATATACTGACTCTGAACCGACAAGTCCTTGTGTTAGCCCCTTAATGCCGAGCACCAGACAGGGTAACGAATACCATCTATTAACGTCTTTTGGTACGACACGGCCAGGGATCAAACATCCGACCTTCCCTCTCTGAGCGGACGCTCTAACTCGAGACCACGGAGGCGGGCGTTGATTTATCTGCAGGAAGATGGATTTAACATCAGTAAGATGATGTGGTCTTCGGGCAGATGGTAAATATCTGCATCAGTGAGTGAATAAGGTTTTCGTGTAGTAATCATAAATGACATCTATCACAAATATAGGTCACTAACCTAAGCCAAATGAAACCTGGCATGCTCAAGGGACAGAACTCCTCGGTGAACTATGGAACCTTACACTTCTTGATCACCCATGCACCCCCAAGAATGGCAAAGTCATGCAGGTCATTGCCATTTGCCTTTGCTAACCATACAATTGCTATGAGATTAATCAGTTAATAAACTTCCAATTTTATATGATTTTGTATATTAAGCGTATTTAGTTTATGTTGAATTTTGTGGAATAATCTGGACCTTATCTCCAGCGATACATGATACATAGATATATACTGTATAGTATGTTCCTACAACTGTCTTTTAATAATTATGACCTTTTTTTAAATTAAACGATAAAACGTACAAGATCAGATTTAATGTGTAATATTATTGTTTGGCTTTTACATTTGATGTGGCAAAACCAATTCAAAAGTATTATTATTAAACTGCTATAAGCAAAGATTGAGACTGAACAAAAGGGCAATCCCAACATGGCTAAAACTAAAAATACATTACTTGTCACGGATCATGGAAAGTATCCACGCCAACATTAAGAAACATGCAAACTTTGAGAGTTTTGCCTAATAGGGCGTTTTAGGAATGCCGTCACATTGCGAAAGGTAAGTTGTGTATACATATATTGCTAAGTACTACTACTACTACTACTACTACTACTACTACTACTAATAATAATAATAATAATAATAATTATAATAATCCGGATATGATGATGATTATGAATTTCGTTTTTGTTCATGTGATTAAACTTATAAAACAATTCGGAAGTCTCCAATGTTTAGAATGTACTCTATATTCCAAATATTAGTAATGCATAAGCAAACCATATCATACCAAAATAACACAGTGTAACCAGATCTTACCCTCTGCTTACGTGAAAATCCTCAGTATCACATTTTTTTTTCTAGCGTATCATATATAAACATACCGTGACTTACTTCCCTTTCAATGAGTTACGTCCCTTGAGCAGGATGTGTTGTTGTTTTTGGAACTTTGAATGAGATGACTACATGTATGTTTTTATTCTCACGTTTGTTTTGTTAAAGTGCGTCAAAGGAAGGTAGCTAGATTTGTATATTACACATCTAATGTCTTTGTGACTAATAATATGAATGTGCTGGAACAGTTATTCGGCCAATCCCAAGTTGATTTGGTGAATGTGACTTTCGTCAGTTCGATTTCCCTGACATATGTAGTATGAAATAGCAAATTAGGCAAGATTACGGTTTACCAGGCGACTCGCTAATGTCCTTGTGACATATATTGTGAATCAGTTGGGACAGTTATTCGGATAATCCCTAATTGAGAAAGCGGACACGAGAACGTTCATCTTCACTGTCTAAACACATGCTAAAAGAGTTACCGAAGTTGTTTTTGTTTTTCTGAAACTGGAAAAGTGCATTACGCAAGAAAAAAAACGAATCCCCGCCTGAGTAAATACAATGGTATTTTCCACCTTCTGAAAGTCCCTTTTTTGCAAATGCCAAATATGTATCGCTAGATCCAGAGACCATATTATACAATATATGGTCTCTGCTAGATCTATATTCATGCCTACCCTGGATTTCTCGGGCTAAAACGGCACCTCATTTTGCAAAAGCGGCTTCTAATTGTCAGGCAAAAATGGCACCTCTATTTTTAATAACGATAACGATTTATGTAGTAGTATATAAGCTTTATTTACATGCTTTATTATGTTATGTTGTATATATATCCTCCGATATATATGTTTTCCTTGGGCGGGGACACCATCCTGTGATGTCAGCTGTGGCAGAAAGGAGAGATATATATGAAATATCTGTAAAATTACTACTTATTTCCTACTTACTAAAATAAATATTAAATATATAGTATATACCTGTAGTCCTATTTCTTGACATTTCCACCAGACTCAGTTTCAGCTTGATATTGAGTTGATTTGAGTAAAGGTACTTATAACTTCAAAGCAAGTGATGTTTCAATGGTAAGTTTAGTTGCGCCTCCCAATCAGCCGAGGTGCCGTTTTCGCCAGTTGGTGCCGTTTTCGCCAGTTGGTGCCGTTTTCGCCAGTTGGTGCCTTTTTCACTCGGTGACGTTTTAGCTGTAACCCGTATGATTGGTGCCAGTCTATGTACATTGTGTAGTGAAGTAGATATGATGCTATATCCAGGCTATCAATCTATCAGACTATCTTTTTGAGAACTGGCTGCGATATCAGCTACATGTACTGCTATCACTGCTTACTATCAGCCATCTACTGTCACTAATATACCTACAAATGCCTCCTACACTTGTGCTCTAATGGAGCGTCAGTCTACAACTTTAGCCTCTAGTCCTAAGCCTGAGTCAAGTAAAGTTCTGTTTGGCCTAGTAAGATCAGCTTCTTACTGCTGTTTCAATAATTTGAAATTCATCTGAAAATGATGCTAAGTGCCAAGTTGGGGCTGTTAGAATCAAAAGGTTTGGGCACAGGCCAGAGCCTGTTGGTGATTTTGCACTTACCTTCACAAGCAGGGATGATTCTAGGGTTGGGCCTTCTGCTTTTAGCCCCTAAATTTGAAAAAAAGGCTCACATTTTCAAATACAATGGGGCAATTTAACATTGTGCTGTATGGGCAAGTGTGGGTGTACCTATTTGAATATTTTTGATTTTCACATAAAGGGCCCATGTCAGAAAATTCCCATAGTGAACCCTGCACAAGCTGTGGTGTAGCATCTAGCATTTGAAACAGATAATCAAAAATAGGTGATTAAAATTAAAGTTTTCTGTTTATCCGTGTTTGCAGGTTTCTGAAGAATTGAAAAGAAAGTGAAGGAGAACATTTCTTATAATGAGTGTCATGAAAGAAAATGATGACTGTATGAAGACATTGGTATCAGCTTTGCAATGTACACTTGTGAAAGCACACATTGTTGGTCCAGAAGACCTTGACCTTAACTTCAAGGTGAAGGTTGGTAGTGGAGATGCAGATAGTTTTATGGATCTTGTTGGAAAAACGGGCCTACCAACCGTTAACACCAGTGGTAAGATAGTGATGGATTCTATCAAATGTGAGTGTTGTCGTAAATTCTTCAAAAAGGTTGTCACTCTGAAGTTTGTTTTTAGCGACAGCAGTGAAAATACCTGCAAAGACTGTGGTCCAGTGAGACGCAGTACTAGAAGAAGAACCAAAAAGTTATATGGTGAGAGGAATAGCATTGAAGTAAATGCTCAAAGAGATCAAGAAACATCTTTTATTCAAGATGAAACAAGACAGATTAAAAACCCTCCTGAAGATTCAGATGCGGAATCATTTAGTGACGCCCTCAATGAAAACAGTTTACCTGAAGATACAGCTGCCCCTCATACATTCAAAGACATTATATGTGAAATTTGTGGTGGGTCATTTGGCGATGACGCTGTATTTATCACTCATCTCATGAAGCACTCCGGTACCAACTCCTGCAAGTGTGCAGTATGTGGGGGCAAGTTTTCAAGCAAGTATGTCCTCAAGAAACACTTGAAGAGACATATTCCTGAAGAACAGAGGGCATACAAGTGTGATATCTGCAAAAAAGGCTTCACAGAAGCCTTTTGCTACAGAGAACATGTCAAGAATCATGCTCAAGTAAAGCCTTTCAAGTGCAGGGAATGCCAGAAGAGCTACTCCAGTTCAACAGCACTACGGCGACATATTCGTGAACATGCAGTGGTGAAGGGTAGCAAGAAAACAAAGATGGACATTTTGGGCGAACAGACAGGGCAAGGAGAAAGTTTTACTGACATAATAAAAGTTGAAGAGGTGTCCCCAACACTTTCAAAAGTTGAAAAGACGTCAGAACAAGAACCAGAAACGAAAACTTTGAGTGATGATTGTGATGATGATGATTTTGGTGATGATGAGGATGTGAACATTGACTGTGAACATGGTGAAGGAGAAGATAACTCACTTAGTCATCAGGGCAGCTACAGAAGTGAATCTGAAATTTCAAATGATAGTGCCCTTGATGAAAATCAGGAAAACAGGACACTGCCAAAGAAAAAACAGTATAAATGTGACATATGTGGAAAATCATTTCAAGTCCACTCAGTGTTCCTGAGACATAAGAAATTCCATAAAGCCGACCAAGAGGCAAACTTCAAGTGCAGAATCTGTTCCAAAGCTTTTGTATCCGAGGTGCTCCTGGAGAAACACCAGAAACGCCACTCTGATGACCGTCCTTTTCCTTGTGATGTTTGTGGCAAATCTTTCTTCAGCAGACAAGTCATGGAAAAGCATTCCAGCCAGCATATTCCTCGAGACAGCTGGGAGTATGAATGTGAAGTCTGTAAGAAGAAGTTTTCCCACATTTCCTACTTCCGTGATCACAAGTGGACCCATGAGACACAGAAGCCTCACAAGTGTGACAAGTGTGGCAACAGATACGCCAATAGTCAGTCCTTACGAAGACACATCATGTCTCACAGCACTGGGGTGCACAAGTGCAGTGAGTGCAGCCAACGATTTGTCTTTGCTCATCGACTTAAGGAACACATGTACAATCATAACGGCATCCTGCCCTTCAGCTGTGACATTTGTGGCAAAGGATTCAAGTCGTACCAAGTTTTTAAGAAACATTCTAGAACTCATGTGACAGTTAAACCATTGGGCTGTGAGAATTGTTCAAAAAGGTTCTATACAAGAAATGATCTTGATATTCATATGAGAATTCATTCTGGTGAACGTCCTTTTCAGTGTGATGTCTGTGGCAGGACCTACACAACTAAAAACACACTTCAGCATCATGCAGTGACTCATACTGAGGAATACAATGTCCTGAAAGCTTGTAAAGTTTGTGGAAAAGAATTTAGAGGTGATCGGGCACTCATTCGTCACGTCCAGACTCATAAGCCAGAGAAGAAGTTTGTCTGTGAACAGTGTGGTAAGAGGTTTCCAAATTCCAAGTCGTTATGGTCGCATAATCAAACTCATAAAGGCTACAAGCCTCATTCTTGTAAATATTGTGGTAAAAAGTTCCGTAGTAACACCCACTGCAGAAACCACATGAAAACACATACAGGAGAAGATCTTGTTCAATGTAATCTGTGTAACGACTGGTTCACTGATATCAAATATCTTCAGAAGGTGCATCCAAAATTTTGCAAGAGCAGAAAAGTCTATTGCAATGTCTGTGGGTTGGGTTTTCCCCACAACCAAGCGCTCCAAAGTCACATGGGACTACATACCGGAGAAAGACCTCATGGTTGTGACACATGTGGACGTGCCTTTGCAAAGGAATCCTCCCTAAATGAACACAAGAAGCGTCATCTCGAGGCTAAGTCTCACCTGTGTAAAACATGTGGTAAGGGTTTTAATCGTCCGGCTGATCTCAGGAAGCATGAAAACCGACACAGAGGGCCGATGAAGGCAGCACTGCCCAACAATATGAAGCCTGGTTATCCTGATCAGAAACTGATGGAATCAGGAACATCGAGTGAGTTCCTAACTCTGTCCGGGCCTGATACGGTTATTGAAGAGGTTCAGGACATCACTGATGTTGGCCATTTTCCTACAGAATCTAATACTATTGTCCTGGCAACTATTGATCAAAGTCAGATTGGTCCATCACAGCATGGCCAGTATAACACTACCCAAATGCAGTACAGTGGGGTACCAGAGGTTGATGTGGCCCATTATCAGGACAGCCAGCAGAACTTGCAGCAGCAGCAGCAGGACCATGGACAGATAGCTGCTGACCAGAATGTCATCATGCTGGCCGTTGTTCAGAACATGTAGCAGATGAACCTGCTTTGTTGTGTGTATTTTGTTAACCTCAAGCAATAATATTTCATTATAGCCATAAGTTGTTGGTGGTAGTGAGGAAAGGATGAGTGCCTGTCCCACAAAGCGATCTAAGGGCTAGGATGATCATAACTCCCATACTTTATCAGTGACTTACAACAGTCATAGCTCTAAGATGGCTTTGTGGAACAGGGACCAGAGCTTTAGACTGTGGTGAATATTCTGTGGTCAAGTGACCTGGGAACCATGTTATCTGTGGAAATAATTACTTACCCGGACAAATGTATGCCATAGGCTCCATATTCCTAGGTCTCTGAGAGGTTATTTGTTCTATCATGGGGTAATGGTACGCGGGGCACACAGGTGTCCCAGTTGTCTAGGGCTTAGAAAATAAAAGAATTGGTTCTCTGGCAATGGTTTTTGGAAATATTGTGTCAGCTGGAACTTTTTTGTTTTGTTTTTGTTGTTCAAACTAGTATGTAACCAAATAAATAGTTGTGTACAATCAACCTGGGAATGAGCCTCCCTCCATTTATGTATTCATTGATGAGTAAAATACTGGAATACAGTATTTGACTACCAGTGGGCTTGGAATATTTAAGGATTTCTTTGTTTGCTTTTATAAAATGGAAATAAAAATGAAACGTGCGGCAAACTTTATGATGATGCGGGCAGTTTCTGAGAACCATGACAATTATTTTTTTTGCTTAAGGAACTGGAAGTTTCTGTGCAGAGTTGCATCCCTTGGGTTTGCCCGATTATCATGATTATGTTTCTAGGTTTGTCAGCACCATACCTGTGTCTGTGGGTTTCACCGAAGTGGTAAACTTCTGAGACCTGCATCACTTTGGGTTTTCCTCTCACATTAAGCTGACACGTGATGATATGACTGGAATATTGTTCAAAGCAGCGTTAAACCCAACTCACTACAATACATATTGCAGTAGTCACAGTATAAAATTAGTCACGATGCATTTGTTACTGACAATACTCATCCCTCCTTGGTACTAATGGTAGTAGCAAGATAGCAGTATGTTTGTTTAAACTTGTTTATTAACCATAATTCAAATATCAGAGGTTATGATCTTGATAAAACAGCATTTATTCTTTAATATTATTTGCAACTGTTTGTTTTTTCTTGTATTAAAATTATTTTTATAATTGGATCTTGTTATATGGGTGTATCATGTTAATAGGAAGATCTGTACAGTACTAATATACAAGGCATACTACTGCTTATAATAAAGGTTTATTGCAGATAGCGTTTGAATGGTACTCTTGTTTTGTTTTCCTTACATTCCCTGCTGTGCCATCAGAAGTTTGAATCCTGGGTATGCTCCAATTATGACCCTTGGTCTGTCTGCACCGTGATAATGTGTTCATCGTGTGGGAAACATTTGTATTTATTATTTATTCTATATTTTCTTATGATTCATATACTACTATACTTCTGGTACATATAATACTCAAAACAAGTTAAAGAACACCCACAAATGGAAGGCTGTGCTGCAATACACACAAGCCATGACAGAGTAACTGTAGTGATATTAAAAAATCGGGTGTCCTTTAACTTCTTTTGAGTAGTATATCTTGACAGCATACAGATACACAGGATAATAGGTTAGTTAAAGGATATGATAGAAATCAAATTTACTTTTCAAATAATGCATGTGATCTGGACCAAACTTTCACCAACTGGTCACATTTGGAATAAGATATTGTAATAGTGTGTCAACTCCCTTTGAATCTTTGTAAGGCTCAACATGATAGTTTTAGATGACCAAAGGTCTTTAATGTTGTGTAATGACTGAAATAATCACATTCTAGGATCATTGTTTGGGGTTAGAAAACCAAGTAGTATTTTTGGTTTTGTAAGTATATTTGAAGATCTGGGTTCGAATTGGTCTCAAGATTATTTCACTACGTTAATGGTGATCCTTTGCATAATGCACAGGTCACAAGTCAGGCGAAGTGAGACACTGTTGGTTGCGGAAAGTCCTTGGATGGATGACTGTGTTTGGCAGCTTGGCTCCTGAGAGTTATTAATAATTAGGTCTTCTGTCCTGCCCCAAACTGAATTGCAGTAGGCACATGTGTCTTCATGGGCAAATGAAACATGCCTCTGTTCACCCAGCAGTGAATGGGTATCAAGTAGGATGACATGTTAATGTGGGTGTTTGATCTTCTAGAGCTTCAGGCAGCTTGGGTTGTGTATTCCCAGGGAGTTGAGAATGAGTGCTCACTGATAAATTGACCTGGGTAATACTTATGCAGAGCTTTGAGCATACATTGCGAATACCTTTGGCTTTACAAGCAGACTTTATAATTATAATGCATGTATGTGTGGCTGCTTGTACTTGTCTGGATTTATTCCAGTTTTATGGTACCAGCCCGACGAGATGCCATGCCTAAGTTTTACATGGATGCCACACTCCGGCTAAGTGTACTGAATCCAAGCTGACCAGTCCTTGTTTAGCCCCTTTATGCCAAGCACCTGGCAGAGTAACCGAAAGTAATACCATTTAGTATGACACGGCCAGGGGATCAAACCACAGATCTTCCACTCTCCAGGCAGACACTTTAACCACACCCAACTCATAACTTGTAGTTGCAATGCTTTACCAGTTGATGCATTACGCTTGTCAGTCACATCGTTTTGAGTCCAATTGCACAAATAATCTGCAGACAACATGCATCACTGCAGACTTTTCTCCCACATCAAGCTGACATGTCATGATATACATGTACGTACCTGTAACTAAAATGCTGTTCAAAGCCAGTGTTCGAAATACCTGCCTGCCCGACCGTCCGAGACGGGTTGATTTCAACTCGGGCTGCCAGATTTTCAAATCCCCCTGCCCGACGGTCGGGTTATATTTCATATGTAAAAATATTCTAAATATTTCCCGATGATAAGCATTATTTACATGATGTATTCTAGGATATTAAATACAAATCTGACCTAAAAAGTGTTTGCTATTTCTTTTCTTGCATTACTTCATGTTCAATGAATTCGATTTAAAGTTTTAATTAAATTATCCTGAGAAACATATGATTATAGTGGGCAGGCAGGTTTTGGTCAGGGCTGGCAAGTATTTCAGCTAGCTTAATAAAAATGTATCATGTGAGCTTATATATTTCTTAATTCTAATATATACTACTCAAAAGAAGTTAAAGAACACCAAATTCCTCCGTATTACTAGAGTAAATTTGTCATGCCATGACAGATTAACTACAGTAATAGGAAAGAATCAGGTGTTATTTAATTTTTGAGTAGTATATATCTACAACATGGAAACAAATGAGGGTAATAATCTATTTATCACGTCATTCTTAAAATAAGTTAAAGCCATATTTTTGCTCAAAAAGATAGCCTTAAAAATCACATATGACTACAATGCCTGTGAGTGCCCTTTTATTATAGAGTGACAAATTATTTGCAACCACGTTTGTTTACATCATCACTCATATTATCAGGAAACCTCTAAACATTTGGGAATGGGCATCACACCGTTATATGGAGCTTAATGAAAGTAGTGATCTTATTTGTATATTTATTAGATCATTACGCATCGTTTAGCAGATTGGTTCACCGCAATAGCACTATCCATCATATTATAATATAATCTTCTTATCTGTAACCTATAACGATCAGTAGAGCTTGAGAACCAATTCATTTTATGACTATCCATAGGCGATCAAGAATGGATGGAGCAGTTGTACATGGTGAAACTAGTCTACAAGACTGCTAAATAGCAGTGTAATCATTAAAGAGATCAAGATGTGCTTTCAGATTTGCAGGACTATTGAGTTTTCGAAGCCCAGAAATTTCATTTGGAACGGACAATGTGAGCACAGATTATTGTAGTTTTGGTTGGTGTTGCACAGAACATGAGGAAAAGCAGTGTTAAAAATTAGCACTAGTCCTACAGTCATTGCCAAACTGACCAATAGTTAAGGTATAAGGACAAGTAGAAATTTGCATTTTTTAAGGGTTTGCTATGTTGTCATAAGGACCAGCGACAAAACATGTTAGTATCTCAAAGTAGACACAATTTATGGATAACAACTTCTTTAATACTGTAAAAAGCGATGTTTCAGTATAGATCCTTATGCCGTTGTCAAGCAAGGATCTATACCCCAAAAAAATGGCGGTTGTCCAAGACATGCACTGCTTACAAATTTTTCCTCCACATCAACATGACATGTTATGATGGCACAGAAATGATCAAAGTGGCATCAATCTCACTCACTCATGAGGGTAGCCTAGTGGTTAAAGCGTTTGCTCTTCACGCTGAAGACTGACCCGGGTTCAATTCCTGACATGGGTACAATGTGTGAAGCCCATTTCTGGTGTCCCCCGCCGTGATATTGCTCAAAGCAGCGTAAAATGATACGCACTCACTATATGCATTTGGGTATCAGCGAAGTGGTAAAAAGTATTCACTCATCACACAGACCAAGGTTTGATGCCCAGGATGGGTACAATTTTAGAAGCTTCTTCTCAAAGAGGCAGAAAACTGTTCTTCAAATGGAATTGTTTGAATGAGCATGTGAAGCTTTAGGTTCATTTGTCCAGTGGTTTCTGAGGTGCTATATTTACAGTTCGAAGGTCAAATAAAGGTCAAATCTTAAAATATCTGTTAAAAACAGAACCCCCACCACTAATATACCAAATTTCATTACAATTTGAAACATGGACTGGTTGATAAATATCTTTGTATCCCAATTGCACAGACTGATGCTCATAATGTCAATCACTAGAATGTCTTGCAGTGTGCAGCGTTTAACAACAAACAAAACAACACATGTAGATCTACCAAGTTTTATTCCATTTTGAACATAAATAACTTACTAATGGCCACAAATGTGGAAATCAGATTCAAACCTCTTGAACAATTTCAGGTATCAACAGTGGTGAGAACAAGTACTGTAAATCTTGAAATTAATGTGTCTCCAAATTAATACGACTGCTGAGATCCGCGATAGAATAGATCTTCAACAACCCATGCTTGACGTAAAAGGCGACTATGTTTGTCATAAGAGGCGACTAATGAGATCGGGTGGTCAGGCTCGTTGACTTGGTTGATACATGTCATCGATCCCAGTTGGTTGGATCGATACTCATGTTATCAATCACTGGATTGTCTACTCCAGACTCGATTATTTACAGACCGTCATCATATAACTGGAATATTGCTGATTGAGCCTTAAACAACAAACCAACCAACCAATAGCTGCTGACCCCTTGCCAATTAAGAGACTCAAAATCAATGCAACTCCCCCTACCCTGTTACCCTAATCCAATCAAACAGGAAATAGCACCGCTTATTAGCACTGAGTAAAGCACTTCAGTAAAAACAATAAACAGTGTTTTTCTAAACATAACACAATTTATATGTTTATTCTGTTGACTACATTCGGGAAGTTCAAAGGCAAGATAATTGAACCAACAACAGTTCACTGATTGGAGTGGTCATTGACGCCTAGTTTGACACGAGTGGGTAGAACTCTTGACCACAGCAGTGATTACTCACCAGATGCCTATCATGTAATTCCTATTCTTTAAATGACATTGTTATGTACTTGTTACAAATGCTGCTCAATAAACCGTGTTTGTGTACATGTTCAAGTTGGTATTTCGACTATCCAAAGTGTGCAGTGAGGCACTTTGGGAGACATAAATGTTTCATTATTGCAAACACAGACCACTCATTTTTCGCATTAAATTCACGTTCACGTTAATTTCAAGATTTACACTTTGTGTTCTACTTCATTGGTTCAGTCCAAATAATTGATAGACAAGCAGTCCATGACATAATACAAGCTCACTTTCAGTCAGAATTTAATGAAAACAATAGACAGATGTTGTCTTAGTTACTTTTACAGATTTTATGACCAAAATAACCCTTTACATTTGCATAGCTACCAGGGTTTTACCTGACGCAAAGGATTGCATCCTATCCACAAACAATTTGAGAATGATGATTTTCATTGTGTCTTGGGGACGAAAAAAAACTATGGCTGTTTGAATCAAAATTGTAGATATATGATATTTATGTTATTGAAAGAAATACACTCAAATTTCAGAGTGTCTGTGGTTACTTCAGTCTAACATTGAATCTCCATCTATCATAGGCATAAGGCCATCCGTACAATTCTTGGAAATCTTGGACTCCAATGTTTATGCCTTGGACCCCCAAAGTCCCTGAACATGAAAATAGATACTCGCTGTATATCTCTGAGCTAACCTAACAAAAAAGATTCCTTCTAACCATAGGGACATGACTGTGAGACAGGCTGGAGACTGTTGCAAGATTCTCACCACCAGGAACAATATTACCTGGACCTGTGACCTTCAACTGACCTCTGGGAGACAGGCAGAGGACTGTTGCAAGATTCTCACCACCAGGAGCAGTATCACCAGGACTTGTGACCTTCAACTAACCTCTGTGAAACAGGCTGGAGATTGTTGCAAGATTCTCACCACCAGAGACAATATCACCGGAAGCTGTTACCTTCAACTGACCCCTGTGCAATCAGGTCACCAAATGCTGCATATCTGCCTCAGAACCATCTGGTTTCATCTGTTCTTTAATAACATTAATATGACTGGATGACTCTTGATGACAGTGGCCTGGTCCAGTTCATGGTCGGTAATGATGGCCTCTCGTAGTGGTTCTTTCGGCTTCATTTCTGGTCCAAGTGTATACCTCTGAAGTGTTCCCTTACCTCCTGCATGCCGTTTCTCGTGTTTCCGCAGTTCAGTCCGCCTCTTGAAGCCTTTCCCACAGATGGAGCACTTGTAGTCAAGTTCTTCAAAGTGACGTTTCAAATGATCCGTGAGATTTCGTTGCTTAGTAAATGCCTTTCCACACTTGACACAATCGAATGGACGTTCACCAGTGTGCAAACCTGCATGACTTTGCAGAGTAATCCCATCTCTAAATACTCTGGTACATGTCTGACAAATGTGCTGTTTCACAGCCTTGCAGTACCTTGGATGTTGGTTTTTCAGGTATGACGCATTAATAAACCAGTCCTTACATTCCTTACATTGAAGCAAGTTCTCACCAGTGTGGACTTTTCTGTGGTTCTTCATGTGCCACACATTTCGATACTTTCGCCCACAGATGTCACATATGTGAGGGCGGTAGTCTTGATGAGAGTCCCTGTGGCTGTCCAGGCTCCTCTTTGTTAAGAAACACTTGCCACACACATCACACATGTGAGACTTGGCTTCTGTGTGGACATGCATGTGTTTTTCCAAGCTTAACACATTGGATAACACTTTACCACAAACACTACACTTTTGTTTTTCTTTTTCGGAGTAGGTACAATTTGTATCAGCATGCCTATCAAAATGTGCCTGGGAGGAAAACGTTTCACCGCAGACATGACACTGGTAAGATTTCTGTGCAATTTGAACCCCATGAACCTTCTTCTGATGGATTTGAAGATGTCTCAAACATGAGTATTTGGCATCACAGACTTCACATTTCATATCTTTGTTTTTTAACCTAGTCTTGAATTTTCTTCTCCTTTTAGCCTTTTTTTCATTTTTGGAAGAATTATGTTTGATATGGTCCTGTCCAAAGTCATGACCCACATTAAGAGTTTCTGATGTTACACAGACTACAGTCGATTCATCTTTCCCACACTCTGTTCCACACATCTGTTGGTTATCTTGGACAAGTTCCCCATCGGGAAATCTCTCATGGCCATTATGGAGACTATTTGCACATGCTTGCGATTCCTTGTGCTTTTCAAGTGTTGATGGTGAGGGCGATGGCAAGATCATACTGCAGATATTACATTTATACATCAAATCCTTCAAAGGAACTTCATGATGCTTCAAACAGACAGCCCTGGTCTCCCCTTCACCGCACACTAAATCCTTTAAAACTCTTCTTTTTTTATGGGTCTCTTGGTGCATTTTCAAACAGTTGATTGTTTTGTAGAATTTATCACATACATTACAGCAAGATATTCCCTGCACTTCTTTATAATCGCTACCATCAGACTTGTGCCTATACAGAACTTCTGACTTTCTTGTAGTCTGAAACCCACCACGCTCTTGCTCTAGCTTAACACGAACAGTTTCTGTTCCAACATTTTCTGAACATGGCATAATTTCTTGCTTCACTAAAATTGTATAGATTTCTTCCAAAGCGGCATTGTCTGTGTGCTCATGCCTGTTACTGGGCAAAGACTGGAGTCTCTCATCATTTACCCAATTTCTTTTGGCAGGGTTTTGCCCACTGAGAGGTCGATCAAGGCCTGTGTTTATTTTGGCAGGGTTTTGCCCACTGAGAGGTGTATCAAGGCCTGCGTTTATTTTGGGAGGGTTTTCCCCACTGAGAGGTGTATCAAGGCCTGCGTTTATTTTGGCAGGGTTTTGCCCACTGAGAGGTGGATCAAGGCCTTTGTTTATTTTGGCAGGGTTTTGCCCACTGAGAGGTGGATCAAAGCCTTTGTTTATTTTGTCATAGTTTTCCCCACTGAGAGGTGTATCAAGGCCTGTGTTTATTTTGGGATGGTTTTCCCCACTAAGAGGTGTATCAAGGCCTGTGGTTATTTTGGCAGGGTTTTCCCCACTCAAAGGAGTAGGGACTTCACCATTGACAGGAGTAGAGATTTTCTCACGGAGAAGTATCATGTTTTCCCCATTGAGAGATGCATCAAGGCGTATGTTTCTCCTCCTGTTTGACATATTGTATGCCCGTCTGTCAGAGTCGCTGTGGTCCTCCATGTGCTTCCTGAGATGAGCCCGAGTGATGTGACTTACCTCACACACAGGACACTGGTGCTGTTCCTGCCTATGACTTGTGTGTGTTCCGCGTAGCTCCTTCCTTTCAAATCCTTGGCCACAATGGGACGAGGTCAAGCCCCGCTGCCTCAAGACAGATCTCATTTTGTTTCTTGATGTGTTAGTTGACCTCGTGACAGTTTGGTTACATGGAACAGGTTCACTTTCAGCATGGGGCGACAGATCATGATCTGCGAGGTTGGGTTTATCAGTACACTCTGTGACATAGGACTTCATATGCTGAGGTAGATTCCTTCCATGTTCAAATAACTGGTCACCTGGGTACTGAAGCTCAGGATTGCTGTCTGGACCATTCATGTGAGCATTAACCAAAGTAACACTTTTGAATGTAAGTTGCTTGTCTCTGTCACAGCCTCCTGAGGCCTTGTCACTCTTGTGAAGCTGGAATCTGTCTGACAAACGAATCTTCCTATCCTTGTTTCCTGATTGGGACTCTAAGTTACGTACACAAAATTCTGACTGCATTTCAAGTTGCTTGGAATTTGGCTTGTCGGTTTTAGTACTGCTCTTGTCAACCTCAATGTTGGAGATCATCTTCGTTGGGTCACTGGGTTTACACACAGTTGAGGATTTGAGTTCCTGCTCTGCACTGTCCAGAGGGCAACACTGACACTTATCATCCTGATTTGTCAACTTTAATACTAGACTTACTTCACCAATTCTTTCGTCAACAGTTTTACCACACTGTCCACAATTCTTGTGGATTTTGTTTTCCGTGATCATTCCAGTCACACTGGAACACTTGAGACAGCTTGTTTGGAGTAAATCCGAACCAGCTTGTGATGCAGCAGCTGCATCTTGGCCAAGACGGAGCTGTACGTTGAGGTTACCATCCTCAACACTGAATGCTGTCAAGGTACACTGCAAAGCATATTCAAGGGTACATAGAAGTGAATATGTTGAGGACTCCATTTTGATGCTGTTAACCTCATACATATCCTTTCCTAAAGTCTACCTTGTTTACCAGATTGTATTTTTCAGTAATTCTTTCATAACCTTGATAACTGGATGTTTAACTTTGTGTAGATATTTCTTGCAAGTTGTAGGTATCTGCATGGTCCTAGCCTTCACTGATTTCTGAAAAACAAATCACAATTCAAAACATTTTATCATTTAAAATGTCGGACACAAAACTAAACGAAAGCAAATTTGTTCATCTGGAATAGCAACATTTATTCTTTCACCCAAAACCGTTACACAGACGGGTTTGTGTGTTGTCTGACGGCCACACTCAGCAATAATCCAGCTATATGACGGCAGTCTGTAAGTAATCAAGTTTTGGCCAGACAATCCAGTGATTGACATGATGAGCATCGATCTAGGCAATTGGGACAAGCATTGGTTGCTGAAGACCTGGACATGTACAGGGCAAAGACAATACTGCTATGAGCATGATGAGTTCGGTGATACATTCCCTGTGGAGACCTGACACACCAGCAGGCTGGAGAGGTTCCCCCTATCTTCCCGAGGCAAAGGAGTTAACCAATCTCATTAAAATCAGATCTTAGTTCTCGCTACCGCTAAACAAAGATCTGAGGACATCCCATTACGGGTCACGTCAGACCGACCTTGCGCGAACTTTGACTGACCAATGGAATGACCAATCAGAAGGCAGCTTTCTCGTGCTTTACGGCATTAATTTCAAATTGGCGACTACGCTTCGATACATATTTTGACAAATTCTCGATTACAAATTTGAAACCTGAACAAAAAACATTCTGGAATGGTTAATAGATGATCTAGATTGTAAGGATTCAGTCGTTAAACCCGTAACTATCGTTCGGAATACCCCATGTTAAAGTTTTCGAGATTGCATGATTAGAAATCATATTCAGACTGTCACTTTCATAATCTGGTAAGCGACACTCTGATTGGTAGGATGAAAGGTCGTTCTGACGTGACCCCTAATGGGATGTCTTCAGATCTTTGTTTAGCGGTAGCGAGAACTAAGGTCTGATTTTAATAAGATTGGGGAGTTAACTGACTATGAAAGTTCAGTCTCCACCATTGCCAAACTAGGCTGGTATTATGGAGTTACATTTTGGCTGGACTAACGAGTCTATGCATAGTCCAATCAAATCGTGCAACAAAATCGAAATTCGGTTCGTAAACTGTCATGCAGATTTCGGTTGACTGCAGGATTTGCAAAGGATGTGCACCGCCAACTCGTTGTCAACAGATATTTTCCAAATCTTTTCACGTTTTTAATCAAGGTGCTCACATGATTTGATGCACTTCGCGATGTAAGTCTCGTTTTATCACAATATAGATCTTATATTAGATCGTCTTGACTGGGCGCTGCCATTTTGTTTGAAGCAAATGCAAGTGATACGAGAGGTGGAATCTGATTGGTCCATAGGAGAGGCTTAGAAGGGACATAACTGGACAAGGGTGGAAACTGGACTTTTAAAGTTAGTTAACTCGCTTGCCTCGGGAAGATGAGGTCCCCAGGGCCATGTTAAAGTATGGGAGTTGCGATTGTCTTAACGCTAAGATTGTTTTGTGGAACGAGACCCAGGACACTACTGCTTGTCAAATGAGGTGACTAATTTCAAGCTTCAGGCTTGGTGATTTGACTGATTGCATCATATCCAACAGCATAATCTGAAACACAATTTGGTCCAGACTTGATTATTTAACGATTGTTACAAAAAATGCTTGAATATTGTTGACTGTGATGTAAACAAGCATAAAACAAGCATAAAACATGAATCAATGTGATGGCTACTTGCAATCAACTATTGCATAATGTTCCTGATAAGTTAAAGTGGAGTGAGTGAGTGGGGTTCAACGCTTCTTTGAACAGTATTCCAGTTATATCACTGCATGTCAGCTTAATGTGGGAGGAAAGTCATTGTTTGTTAAATAAATGTATGGTGAATAAAGAAGACATGTTTGTTTACCAATACTATATTTGATTGTTTTTGCCAACAAAACCCGGTGCCAGTTATGCCAATCTGTTTTCATTTTAGCCTGGCAATTTTTATGCCATTTTGACATGGGGACAGAACCGCCTGATCCCCTCATATAGTGACAGACACACCAGCAAGCTGGCGGTTACTGTAACCATGGTAACTACTCCATATTCATGACCAGGGTGTGCCCTGACGTGACGCAATCTAAGGAGAATATACACACTAGTATTTCTCCATTGCAGATCATTCAGACTGTCAAAATCAATTAATGGCACTTTACTGTCGCAACATTACAATTTGAAACGGATGTATCCTTTGACAATCTGAATGAATCAGTTGCCTGGCGGGGTGGATGTATTTCCTGTCATTAGGAAGCATACATCAATAAGTATTTTGTTAAAATGACCCCCTTTGAAAGAGTGAGTGAGTGAGTGAGTGAGTGAGTGAGTGAGTGCGTTTGGTTTTACGCCGCTTTTAGCAATATTCCAGCAATATCACGGCGGGGGACACAGGAAATGGGCTTCACACATTGTACCCATGTCGGGATTCGAACCCGGGTTTTAGGCATGTCGATCGAGCGAACACTTTAACCACTAGGCTCCCCGACCGCCCCCCCCTTTGAAAGACGAATATATGACTCCCTGTATTACAGCTAAGATAATGACCCCCAGTTTTAAGTGGCAAGGGCAAACCCTGCATGACATACCGTATATCCTTGAATATATGCCTGCTTTGAATAAACACCAGGTCCAACGAACCTCTGCCTTGAATAAGTGCTGTTTTGTATTTTATTCCTACAAAATTTAGTTACGTAGTGCACCATTTTCCTTCCAATTCAATTAATATATGAAAAAAACATCAGTTTGAATTACAGAATTTGGAAAAAACAAGGTTTTGATGTTAAAATCTCTTGAAGAAAAAGAGAAATGCCAGTCCCTTGCATAAACGCCTGGTCCAAAATAACTAGATCTCTACGCCGGGTGTTTATTGAAGGATTGACATACGGTACCTTCTACCACATCGGACAAGGAAAGAACAGACATGGCTGAATCTGACACACACAGTAAACACCCCACAAATAAAGGGCAGTGATCAAAGAACGCGACATGAGAAACAATTCACCTGTTATGCCAATTTTTGCTTCATCACCCCACACGGCCACAGTGACAGTCTGGTATAGCGTGATGATATTGATATCTGCCAACACATCGCGCTGGGTATTGCCTTCCTTTCTTGCAGTAACATACACTGATTTACAGTCTTATCAAGCGTGTTGGTCACTGATAAAGGTGAATTTCAAAACTTGCAAAGTAATTTCGAGGGAGGATTTGGTTGAACAGAAGAACTTGCAGCATCAACACGGCGCTGTCATGTGAGAAAGTGTCTGGGTCAGAGAGCGTCCGCCCGGACTATTCCTAACCACTCGAAGGGTGAGAAAGTGTCCGCCCGGACAATCTCTCACTGTTTGCCTCACTGGATATTACAAGTTGGTTGTAGATGGAAACTGTATTGCTTAGCGAAAATATTCTTGATTTCTGTTTATTCTGCTCCTCTCCAAACCCATATAACTTGAGTTGACATGTATACGTCTTTTCTTCAGACATCGCCACAGGAGATTGGAAAAACATAATTATTAAAGGAGTAGATTCTCTTTTTTTATCAACAGGAATTGTTTAATTGAAATTGTTGAATGTATTTGCGCATTAAGGTATGAAAAACACAAACAGCTTGGCAAAAGAAAATAGATACACCTATGTGTGTGGTATCTATATATCGTTAGTGTGAGAAATACGAGGGGTGTTCATTAAAGATTTCCCCTGACCCACTTCCGATGGACCTAGTGGAATGAAACTTGGCATAGGTATTAGTCTTTCTCCACATAGGAACCACCAAGAGTTACACACTTCTCCCATCGTTTTATGCAACTATGGAGACCTCGCTTGTAAAAGCCCTCATTTTGGGTCTCAAACCAGGACTTGACTTTAGAAATCAGTGTTTCATCATCTGTGAACGTTTTCCCTTCAAAAATGACTTCATTGTTGGAAAGAGGTGGAAGTCAGATGGTGCAAGGTCAGGAGAGTAAGGAGGATGTGGAAGGATTTCATAGCCACAGGACCGCGCTTCTGTCTGGGCAACATGAGAGTTGTGTACTGGAGCATTGTCTTGCAGGAGACGGACACCCTTGGTCAGCATGCCACGCCTCTTAAGCTTGATAGCGTCCCGCAATTTCCGCAGCAGTGAAGCATAATACGCTCCTGTAATTGTGGTACCCTTTGCCAAGAAATCCATCATCACTACTCCGTGCTGGTCCCAAAACACCGTGAGCATGACCTTGCCTGCAGAGGGTTGGACACGTGCCTTCTTTTTTTTTTGGGGGGGGGGGGGGGGGGGGGGGCTCCACATGCTTCCATTGCATCGACTAAACTTTAGTCTCAGGTTCATAGTGATGGACCCATGTTTCATCCTGTGTGATAAGTCTGTCAAAAACGTTTGCCTGTTTTGAGATCCTTTGAGCAATTGACTCGTTCCTGCTTTTGGAAAGGTGTGAGCAACCTGGGAATCTATCGTGCAGACACCTTATGCATGTTCAAATTGTCATGGATGATTTTTTCCACAGACTCTACGCTGATCTTGACATCTTGTGCTAACTGGCGAACAGTTATACGTCGGTCTGCCAAAATGGCGGTCTCCACTTGATGGATAGTGTCCTCATCAATGGCTGAATGGGGGCGACCAGGAATGGCAGCCGTTTCCACAGATGTCCGACCACACTTGAACTGGCGATGCCAGTGTTTAACAACGTCATATGATGGGGCATCTTTCCCATAAGTTGCTTTCATTTAATCGAAAGTTTCTTTTAGTGTGCGACCTTTCAAATATAAAAACCTAATCACTGCTCGGTATTCTACTGGCTCCATTGTCACACTCTACTAGATCATAACACCTGTAAAAGTGGTAAGATTAATAGTTCGGTGCTGCAAATTCAGACATAACCCATAGATACATGTATCATTACACATGTGAAATTTCAACCAAATATGATAACCCTAAGTGGTTTAGGGGAAATCTTTAATGAACACCCCTCGTACAATCCCCCTATGACACCAACTACTTTGATCTATAGCTACGCTTCCGTACAGTTTGAATAATTATGTATTTATGCTGTAAAAAAATAGAATATTATATGGGCGCTATATTGATCATGTGGCTCAAGTTCCGTCTTGCTTGCTCATTATGTTATAATTTGGTAACACAACGAATCGCTTCTTATATGAAAGTGGGCAAGGATAAGCTCCCCTTTCCGCAAAAACCTGATATCATCACAATTTAATAGTGATTCATAAACACATATTCATGATAAAGAGAGAATCGTACAATCGATTGTGGTTTTAGCTGATATATTTTTAGGAATATGGAAAGGGTTTTCTTGTTCATATTTAAACCTACATATTCATTAATATGTTTTGCTTTTCCGATATATGATTTATCCATTCACAAATGCTTTAACCGACAGAAGAATAATGTGAACTGGAATCAGAATTGCAATTGGCTGTAGCAAGGGTGTTCAGTGTGTGCCTTAACCAGACTTTGGTATCAGTACTAACACCATGGTTAAGTTGGTATGTCACCTGACCGATCCCGCGTCCATGCCCAGGGCCGCTTCAGACATCTTCCCGAGGCAAGAGAGTTAACTGACTTTAAAAGTCCAGTTTCCACCCTTGCCGAACTAGGCTGGAATTACTAGGCTCTATCGTAGCGCCACCAGTGGCTATTACCAGCTATGACCCTTTTAAGCCTCTCCTATGGACCAATCAGATTCCACCTCTCGTATCACTTGCGTTTGCTTCACACAAAATAGTGGCGCCCGGTCAGGACGATCCAATCGATAATCAATATCTATATTGTGATAAAACGTGTCTTACATCGCGAAATGCATCAAATCACGTGAGCATCTTGATTAAAAACATGAAAAAAAATGGAAAATATTTGCTGACAACGTGTTGGCGGTGCACATGTTTTGCAAATTCTGCAATCGACCGAAATCTGAACGACAGTTAACGAACCGGATTTCGATTTCGGTGCGCGATTTTGATTGGACTATGCATAGACTCTGAGCCCAGCCAAAATGTAACTCCATAATACCAACCTAGTTCGGCAAGGGTGGAAACTGGACTTTTATAGACAGTTAACTCTCTTGCCTCGGGAAGATGGCTCCAGATGGCCATGACACTTTGCGACAAAAGCAATTGAGTATGGTTTTACGCCGCTTTTAGAAATAGTCCTGCAACATCACGGCGGAGGACACCAGACATGGGCTTCACACATTGTACCCATGTCGGGAATCGAACCCGGGTCTTCGGCATGACGAGCGAACGCTTTAACCACTAGGCTACCCGACCGCGCAGACAAGGGCTAATAGAAAAACAGCAGTCACGAAGCAGGTCTCAAAGCACGGATATGTCAGAGGAGTCATTTTGACGCAACAACATCGTCAACTGCGATCAGTGGTGCCAAGCACGTTGAGTATGGCCTTACCTGCGATGAAAACCTCATATATGAAGCACTGGCGAGCTGATGGGGAAGCCAGGGTGTACCAACAATGATTTGTATTTTAACGTTTTACCCGATCTGCTTACGGGAGATCGACATGTTTGGTGGTGGCAGGGTAAAGATGTGGGAGGTAGTCTTTCACACTGGTAGAACAAACCTGGTGCAAAGGCAAGGCCCAATGCTATTTTGATGATATCCTTCAGCATCAAGTTGTTTCCATTTTTAACCATGTTAACCTGATCTTTCAACAAGACAATGCTAGACCGCATACAACACGTGGAACAGCGGAACCACGGTGTACAGGTCCTCCCATGGCCTCTCAATCACCAGATTTGAACCAAGTATCGAACATCCATGGGACGTCCCCGAAAATTCCTGAATAAAATAATTATGCTTCAGGCTATTGAAAACAAAAAAACAAATTGCCTGCTACAATGATTTCATTGTTACAAGGTGTAGTTCTTGAAAAAAATCAGGTTCAGATTTCTAAATAAAAAAAATATATCTGGTTTTGAAGCTTCATATGTCTTTTGTGTCGTTCATATAATTATGTCTACAAATATTACCTATGCCGTTTTCAAAAAAAAAGAGGATTATATTATTGTTAAACCAGGAAGTTGTACCGTGCTTCTGCACACTTCAGATGTGTTTAAGAAATAAACGGCTCTTGGTCATTTTTCATCTTTTGATAACACTGCAGGGAGAATAAACCACGAGGGGCGCAGACCCGAGTGGTTAATACTCCCTGCTGTGTTTTATTGTACCATAAACAATGACGACGAATCATTTATTTATAATATGACATATCAACATTAATTTATGTATAGCCGCTTTGAGGATGTTGATAAAATGTGAACGTGGTATTTTCCACATATTCTCAAGTCGAATATCTATATCTTTTCCCCTGAAACCGATTGTCATATCTCTCCCACTTTTGGGTGTGACGAAACACCAGAAATGAGGAAAGAGCTATGGTAGTTCACAGATAAGACAACGTTCCTTCTGTCGATACTTTTGGTTACAAATATGGGTAGAAATCATACAACGTGCAACTGATTTTTTTCACTCATGGAATTTATTTTGGAAATCCCAACCGCCTCCGGGGATAGGGCGTTTGTCCAAAGAGGGGAAGGTCGGTGATAGGATCCCGGGCAGCGTAATACCAAAAGACGTTAAAAGATGGTAATTGTTGTTACCCTGCCTGACGCTCGACTTTTAGGACTGGACCGCTCGGAGTCGGTATTATATGTTTTCGAGAGGGGTATATCCATGTTAAATTCATTTCACCTCAACTGAAAATCCGATGTAAGCACGATGTCTGCAAGCCAGCTATGCCTATGATGTTCGCTTGGCGATTACACAATGGCATAGGTATATGATCGAGGAGCTTTTGTTATGTAAACAGGACGTACTATCACACCCATATATAGTACGTGACAGTCTCTTCTGGGGCCGACACATGACAGCGCCAAAGCGCTTTCCTCTTGAGTCATGTGCCAAATGCGAGCATGCAGCACAAAATTTGGTCAACCTTAGTTTCTTGAACACAGCTTGACTGGAAACTAAGAATGCACAGAAAGTATTCAAGTTCAATACCCTGATCGTCGGCTTGCACTCACGTGACACTCGGAGACCTATTAATTGTGAATGAATATTTACAGTTCAACTGCGCCCATCTAATCACGGTCGGCGAATCAAGTGGAGCCGTCAAATTCTCAAACACCATCTCATTATTGTATCTAATATAGACGCTGGACTTGAACGCGTCTTAAAAAATACCTCTTTTAAATACTTTATGGTCTCTGATTCCATGTTGAACGCCGAACGTTCTGGCCCATAACAAGAATTTAAGATAACCAAAATAAAACAAAACACACTTTAAATAATTTTACAATGCCTGTAGCGTATTTCAAGTTAAATTACCCTCCAAGCCCCCATTGGCCTTTTTCACGAAGGTATTACAAATCCAATCATGAGCTGAGCTTGGAGCCGTGCAAGGTCAGTGCAGTGAATCACGGCCGCCGCTGTCCCAGTTATTAACGGTATACATTGTTAATAAACGAGCGAGTTGCCTCCCCTATATAAATCATGGCGAATCTTTCCCAGCATTTTACGAAAATCACAATATCAGGAATCACGAAGAATGCACCACGATGCACCACTGAATAACCATTGCATATTTGGAGGAATGTGTTAGGAGTAAGTACTTGGTATAGATGATGATAGAGACTATAGTTATCAATATTCAATGACATACTTTTAGAAATATGTTCCTTTTCAAGGAAATTCCCAAGTCTCACAGACGAGCTCACACGAAAGGTACTTCTCGACAAGAGCCCTTCATAAATATCGTAACTGATCACAGTTCACGCTTTGCTGACAGGTACCATGCGTGACGTGACCGTCAAAGCTTCTTCACTATCTTTAGCCCTTTATTCCGCAATCTATTAATGCTAAATCTACTTAAACAGCTGATCAAAATCGTATCGATCTTAACGTTAGGTCATCGTTACTATCAAACCTAGGCCCCAAACATATTGTTTCAATCTTTTGGGTTATGGATGATCTGGCTTAGGCCTATTATGATATTTTCGTTTATTACATTTTCGTGATTTTGTATGTGTGACAGTGTATTCAGCGATAGGATCAAATCTTTTTAGTCCTCTAGTCCTTACAATGATAAAATATAGTAAAATCCTTAAATGACAAAATTCTACTAATCCTTATGATGCCTTAACTATTGGGCAGTTTGGTAAAGACTATAGGACCAATGTCAATTTCTACCACTCAAGTATAAACAAATGATAAATGAGTGTAGGTTTTTCACACATATCAAAAATCAACAGCTGTCAGTTCGGCTCTAAACATGTCAAAGGTGGAGGTCTTTGACCATAATGGAACATGACTAGCTGATCATGCCACATGTAAGCAAGAGCAGGAGAAAATGGTCTCATGTAATAATTGTATACACAAGGTAACCCATAGTCTCTCTTACAGACCCTGATACAAATATATCAAATACAGCCCATGCAAGTCTATAATGTTTGGCAAGTCTAGATTTCTGCAGTATCTGAAAAAAAAGAGTCTCTGGGCTCCTTTTTATTATATTTTTATTAAGATAATTGAACAACTTTTTTTCTGTATGATATGTTCATTTCACAGTTTCAGTGACAAAAGATGGTAGTCTAGGTAACCAAGGTTTTTTTTTGTCCCTTTTCGGGTCCATTTATCCCAAATTTTAGGCCATTTTCACCATTTTTTTTGCATATTCTCTTTAACACCATGTAATTAATGTCTGCCAGAAATTTGCAAGCATAATTATCATGATTATATGTGATAGCGCCTGTGGTAAAGTGGTAATGCATTAGTTATATGACTTAGCATGCATTGCATTATGCTCCACAACACAGGTTCAATCTACCTCAGCTGCTGTCTGTGTTTTTTTAATTGTGCAAATGTGCACCCTGTGAAGTGCACCACTCCTACCAACACACAAAGCTTGTTATCATGTTGTGTAGTGTTTGTGTCACACTAAGCATACTAAGGGGTTTTCCTGAGCTCATGCTGGTCCCTGCGTTTCAGTCCTTTGCCAGCTCTGACATAATATTATGACGTATGGTCATAACATCATGTTATTACCGTATTCGACGTAATAAGCGCCCTGCTCTAATAAGCGCCCACGGTGATATTTGCTAATATATTGGCTAGTGAACAATACCAATTAGCACCCCTTCCGATTGATCAATGTACACAACACTTATTTATTCGCGTATAATACGTACGTGTGTTATATGCACCCTTAATTAAGGGCATTTAAATTCTGGAAAAATGTATCTCTCGTATATAAACAGTTCAGGCTGTCAGCATAAACCACGAAATTTATCTTTCAAAATGTCTTTTTCAGCAAAATAATATTCAAATAAGAGGCCCCTATTTCTAATTTTGTGAGCGCCCTGGGCGCTTATTACGTCAAATAGGGTATGTTATGTGGCTTGGTCACTCTCAGCTCTTGGCTGTTTACACCAACACCACCTAAGATATGAAGTAAACTGTGTTGACCTTATACATAGTTAGTCCTTCCTGCAGGTGTTGGGTTCCATGGGTTCCACCACAAAGAACATGATGTGTACATTATCTATGTTATTGCTATGTCATATCAATTCAGAGTTACGTCATGTCATCTCAAAATCATGAGAGCTCACATAGAGAGCGAGTCCTTCAGAAAATAACTGAGAACTTTTGCATATTACAATGTTGATAAACATCATGCGTTTTAATATTTCCAGGTTTTATTGAGTATTTGATATTCAGAATTTGACACGTGAAGTCTCAAGCTAGGACAGTCAGTTCCAAACCTGAGCTTTCTGGTCATCAAATATTCAATAAAACACACAAATCTGAAAACACGTAATCACGATAATCTTTATCTCCTAAATTTAATAGTCCTCACTTTATTTAATCACTATTTTATTGACCTGTTAAAGACCTGTTATTGACCTGTTAATTATTGACCTGTTAATTAAAGACTAAAATCTAAAGGTGCAGTCTTGTTGGCTGTTTAGGATATATGGGATTCCTTAAATGCTTGTCCTATATAATTTTCTCCTTTTTACACGTTATTCATTAATGTACATGGTTTTCATTGCATTTCCAAAATGTTAAATTTAAGAACCATGGATAGATAGTGATTGCCTACTTCACTAGGTCCACAAATCTTGAGTAAGAGAGGCATCATATGGGAGTAAAAGATATGATTGTGATCGTTAAATTGACTCATGTACTTATTATGTGAGTGAGTATGGTTTTACGCCGCTTTTAGCAATATTCCAGCAATATCACGGCGGGGGACTCTAGAAATGGGCTTCACACATTGTACCCATGTCAGGAATCGAACCCGGATCTTTAGCGTGACGAGCGAACGCTTTAACCACCAGGCTACCCGACCGCCCATCGTGTACTTATTAAGAAATATTTATTTTTTCAGAATTTGGTGTTTAAAGTATGGCGTCTCTATGTCAAAAATACAAAACCAACTGAGACCTGCTCTGAAGATGGAGGTGTCCTTTACTGACAGCGACACTGGAGATGATGAGTCCATTTTAGGGGTAGAAGATGACAACAGAGAGAACCAGTCTGAAACAGCCAGTGTCCTAGTCAACCAGCTAGCTGACAGTCTACAGGTGATGGAGGCAGCTTTTATGTGTCATGTCATCAAGACAAATGTTGTCAATGAACAAGACATTGATCTCCAGATCCGAGTCCATATTGAAAACAATGACATGACACCTCATTTCATGGATATGCTGAAGACGGGTATGATCCAATGTAAGAGCTCTTACTGTAAGGTTCACAAGGTGGCTGGGAACTGTACAACATGCAGTAAACATGTTCCTCAAAATGCAGGGGAAATAAATATGATCTTTGAATTGAGTGATAAAAGTCCATGTGAGCATTGTGTACCAGGGACTGCTGTTGGTGAGAAGCTGCAGTGTGATGCAGTCAGCGCTGTCATGGATGCAGCACCGGAGGAGGACAGGGCGGGAGGAAACACAGATGAAGTAGAAGGACAAAGAAGAGGGGTGACCAGGAGGAGGAAACAAACAATCAAAATGGCAGAGATGTTAGATGCAGATTCAGATGTCCGAGAGGATGATGAGGATGAGGATAATAAAGATGAAGCTGATTGGCAGAGAAAGGAGGACATGAAACCCATGACTAGAAGAAACACCTCAAGGCCAACGTCGACTCCTGCAGTGAAGACTAAGCCTGCTACTAGGCCGCAAAAAATTAAAAAGGTTTTGAAACTGAAGTCAGTTAAAAACATGGAAGTTTGCCCAGCTGAATCGGATGACAAGAGTTCCATGTTCAAGGAAGTTGTGAAGAAAACTAGAAGATCCAAAACCAAGAAGTTTGAATGTAATGTTTGTGGTAAAAGTTTTGGGGCAAAGAACGGAATTCTCCAACATATCAAAACTCATGAAGTACTTCCCATTAATAAACAGTTGACTGATAATTTGGTCGAAGCTGATAATATTGTGAAAAGTGAAAATAAGGTGAGGACAGATGTGACGTGTGAAAATACGCCAGCAAGTGAAAATGAAGTCGTGAGTGAAAATGAAGGTTCGAAGGGTAAAAACAATGAAGGAACTCAAACAGATACTAAGAGGAAAAGAAGTGTGAGTGATCTCCGCCCTTACAAGTGTGCTGTATGTGGAAAGACGTATCAGATGCTGAAAACCCTCAAAAGTCATGAGCGCGTTCACAGCGACAGCACTGAGTACGAATGCAATGTTTGTGGCAAAGGTTTCCACATCCCAAGTCGACTCAAATACCACATGAGAATACACACAGGGGAACGGCCTTTCCAGTGCACGATATGTGGCAATGCGTTCGTGAGGAATGGTCACCTGACCCATCACATGAAGACACACGAAGCGGACCGACCATACAAGTGTCCAGTGTGTGGTAAAGGCTTCACTGAAGTGTGTTATCTGAAGGTACATGAACGCAACCACACTGGAGAGAAACCGTACCAATGTGATAAGTGCGGCAAATGTTTCACCAACTCTTCATCGTTTCACATCCACCAACGTGTACATAGCAGCAAGGCTGTTAAGTGTGATACCTGCGGTAAGGAATTCCACTCAGAAAAAACTCTGACACAGCACCAAGGAATCCATTCTGGCGTCCGACCATATGTCTGTGACTTCTGTGGTAAAGGCTGTCTTACATTGTCCCGATTGAACCGCCATAAGCGGACTCACTCTGGCGACAAGCCCCACAAGTGTACGAACTGTGACAAAAGGTTCTTTGACGCAAGTGACCTCAAACTCCATCTGAGAATCCACACCGGGGAGAAACCGTTTAAATGTGACGTGTGTAATAAGAAGTTTACGCTGAAGGAATCCCTGAATCGTCATGTGGTCGTGCATATAGATGATCGGCCACACAAATGTAATGAGTGTGGGAAAGGTTTCGCAACTGCTAGGCAGCTAAGTAAGCACACCAACATTCATTTTGGGACAAAGAAGTTCATCTGTGAGCTGTGTGGAAAGTCATTCTTGACATCAAATGCTTTGAAGTCGCATAACCAGACCCATGCAGGGTACCGGCCACACAAGTGTGACATCTGTGGCCGCATGTATCGCAGTTCCTGGTATCTTCAGGTGAGTGAAACCATTTACAACTATCCAGGTATCCCTTGTATCCAGGGACCCTCATCTGATGCAATTCTATGTGCAGAGTTGCATCCCTTTGGCACGCCAGAAACCTATGATTATGGGTATGAATCCCAGTTCTCCCTGATTGTTTCAAGGTTTGTTGGTGCCATACCCATGCTTGTGGGTGTCACCAAAGTGGTAAAGAGCTGTCATGCTTATAAATTAAACACTTTTGAAAGCATTGTTAAACTCAACTCACAGACCTATCCTTGATTGCCAGTAGTTTAGTGTTAACAAAGACATTTCAGGAGATGGGTTCAGATTTTGTTTTAACACCTATGTCATGAAAATATTAATACAGTGTAACCTTGCAAAATCCTTGCCTTGATCACATGTTGATATATTGAGGATCATCACAGTTCAATAGCGATAGCGATCAGCTGCTTCGCTTAGGGTCATTATTATTTTAAATATGTTTAGTAAAAGCTGCATCTAAATTAACAACTTATTGGAATATATTATTCCTGATAAAAAAATAGTTTCAGATACAACTTTTGCCGATCCTTGCATTAAAATACTGTAAAGTTATATCATTGGGTGTGTCTTGACCAAATCACCGGTAGATTCCAAGAAAATGTGTGTACAGCTGATTGCTGTGTCCGGCTTAGTTTACGAGAAAATACACAAGGTAATCTTAATCCCTGGATATAAAACAATGCCTAGCTGAACAAAAAATACAATTTAAACGGTAAATCAACATGTCTTTTATCTCAAATTTCTAATTTGTACTGACAAAGTTTCTCATCACCCGTTCGTTTGCCGGACTTCGCTGAAGGGGTACGGTGTAATTTTTCATAATATTCAAATTTCTTTTTTCCAAAATATTGAATCCGCTAGAGGGGGGTGCGCATTATACATGGGTGCGCACTATACATGGGTGCGCACTATACTCAAGAAAATACAGTACTTGGTGGTCCTGGCAGAATCTTTATCATGTTCATGTTTGTCAGCAGTATCATCTGATATGAGCTCTCACGCTTTCTTGAATTACAATACCTGTGAAGTTCCGGGTTGGAATAGGTCATCAGCAACCCATGCTTGCCGTATAAGGTGACCATGCTTGTCGTAAGAGGCGTCTAACGGGATCCGGTGGTCAGGCTCGCTGACTTGGTTGATGCATATCATCTTATCACAGTTGCGTAGATCAAAGTTCATGGATTGTCTGGTCCAGCCTCGATTATTTACAAACTGCCGTCATATCATGCATATAGCTGGAATATTGCTGAGTTTGGCGTTAAACAACAAACAAACGAACTTGAATTACAAACATGATAAAGTATCAACATAATTTGAAATAATTTCTGATGTTGCTTTATTTCTTGCTTTATAGCTTTCTTTAGCATTGGTAATATTGATAATATATATGTTGATATTAGTAATGTGTTAATTTGTTTATTCTATTTTTTGTGTGTAATCTGTCATCAGCTGGTCATGTCTGTTTTAACCTTTGTCATGCATGTATTTGTCTTTGTCAAAACTTCATGATCATGATCACGATTAACATGATTAAAGATTCTGTTGGCTCAACAGAACAAACTTGAAAAACTTCAAGGAATGAATAGTGTTTGAATTAATACCGTTTGGATAAAATCATGATTGTGTGCTTCAGGTTCATCGTAAGACCCACACCGGGGAGAACCTGATCCAGTGTCACACGTGTGGAGACTGGTTCGTCAATCCGTCCTACTTCAAACTCCACCAGCAAAAGCACTGCAAGGGGAGACTACTCTACTGCAACGTCTGCAAACACGGCTTCTCCAACAACCATGCCCTCCAGAGCCATATGGGCATCCACACAGGCGAACGCCCTTTCGGTTGTGATATTTGCGGAAAAGCTTTTGCGAAAGCTACGTTGCGCCAGGATCATGTGAGACGCCATTCGGAGCAGATGGTTCATAAATGCAGCTTTTGCGGCAAAGGGTTCAAGAGAACCAATGATCGAAAGAAGCATGAACTTCGTCATGAAAGAAAGATGAGAAAACTCCATCTTCCTGACAGACTAAAACCTGGCCACAAGGACAACGTTTCTGTCCAACAAGAAAGAGACATCCTGCAAGAAGCAACCGAGAGCATCCGAGATGTTGAAAGCTCATCCGTGATGGACGTTGACATGGGGGAGGTTGAAGAACCTCATGTTATGACGGAACACGTTGTGCTCACAACAATAGACTCCAGCCAGATCTCAGAGCAGCAGGATCTGCAGGTAGCTGAGGACAAGGAGACACCCACACAAAGAATGATGGTGGCAGTCGATCACTCGTATTACTCAGACCACAACGTCCCCATGGTCTCGGATCATGGCCTGTCCGGTTCGGGAGGAATTCCCATCCACACTCTGGCCTCGGACCCAAGCCCAATGTTCGGCACGGGTAACCAAGCAGGATTGCAGGTGGTGTCCGGCCAGCATGCTCTGTCACAGGTTCCAGGGCAGCATGGCTTGGTGGTTGGACAAGGGAGTCTGCAGGCTCTCACTCCCTTGCAGCCGACGGCCCTGCCTCATCCCAGCCACCAGGGGATGGTGTCTCATCCGGATCAACGTCTTCCTCCCAACATCGGACACAACCCGTCTCTTCCACATCCAATGTCAGCACATTCCTGGATGTACTGAGGTCACAGTTCCTCCCTCAAACCCCCCTCCCTACCTCTCCCATTCAGCTCCCCTCTGTGGTGATGCCAGGTTGGAATAATTCCCCAGCAACTTAACCCGGTTGTAGGAGACGACTTAAAGGTGTCTTGGTTGTCTTGGTCATTGTACTCTGATTATTTACAAGCCACCATCATATAGCTGGAATATTGCAGAACAACAAACCAAACTCCTTGAGTAATAATAATAATAAGGATAATAACTGCATTTTTAAGATAACCCTACGTAGATGCTGTATCACAGTGCAGAGAACATGATCAAATGATGGTATTTGGCTTGTTTTGTCATCTTGCTGTGAGTTTGCTGGAGACAATGGCTTTAGGACATTTTGAATTTTTCAGCATTTGATAGGACATTTTTCTATATCAAAACCAAATCTTAAACAACCCTTTAGGACATTTTGGATCTCCTTTAAATGAACCAGTCTGAATCCATGTCTCAACAACTTCATGGCAAGGCACAATCCTGTCAGAATGAAATCTTTTAGACACCCATATATTTTGCACAATTTGATCATTTTGGAACAGTTATGTTAAATATTTTTTGTGGCAACCAACAAGAAATATGATCATGATGATTGTAAATTAATAAGGCATAGAGTCACATTTACATTTAAATACCAACATTTACATATACATACTGGTATTTACATTTAAATACTGACAATTACATTTACATACTAACATACTAACATTTAAATTTACAATCTGACATTTACATTTACATACTGACATTACATTTACATACTAACATTTACATTTACATACTAACATTTTCATTTACATACTGACAATTACATTTACATACTAACATACTAACATTTAAATTTACAATCTGACATTTACATTTACATACTGACAATTACATTTACATACTAACATTTAAATTTACATTCTGACATTTACATTTACATACTGACATTTACATTTACATACTGACACTACATTTACATACTGACATTTACATTTACATACTGACATTTACATTTAGATGCTGACATTTACATTTACATACTGACACTACATTTACATACTAACATACTGACATTTACATTTGCATACTAACATTTACATTTACATGCTGACATTTACATACTGACATTTACATTTACATACTGACATTTACATTTTCTACCAGGCTGTGATTATGATGTTGTGATCTTAACCAATTTGTTTTATGTTAAGTTCAAGCAAAGGTGTAATAAATGTGATGCATGTCTTTCAAGATACTGCATTATGCTCATCTTACTGTAAGCTATGAAGACAGACAGAAACCTAGGTGTCACCATGGACTCTGGGCATTATTTTTGTTAATTGCATGCTATGGGCACAAAACTTGCTAAAATGTAGAATGGATGCAGAGAAAAAATATTGTATATTGATGGACGCACAATAATATACATTGTACCAAGTTCTGAACAAGAAATATTAAGGTCCTGTAATTAAAATAATTATCAAGTCTTACAGTACAGTTCACTGCACCATTTCATTACTTTACAGGAACTTCATATTTCCTGTAAGGACCCTTGAAATTATGTACCGGTCCACTGGACCCACGGTTTTGTAAGTCCAGGTGAAACCCTGGGCCCCGTTCCACAAAGCGATCTTAGTGCTACGTTGATTGTAAGCCTATGATAAAGTATGGGAGTTACAACCAACTTAGCACTTAGATCACTTTGTGGAACGGGTTCCTGGATAGAAATATTACCTTTCATGTATATATACACATCTATGTATCAGTTGGAAGGTTTTATTGATATATATGTGTGATATGTTGACAAGTTTTCAGACTAGATTTTCAATCTAATCCATTGTATTCTGCCTCCATATATCTATTCCTATGACATGTGAGTCTTTATGCTGAGAGTAAAACCGAAATCAGTGTCATGTACCGTTAGATAGACTCGTCCAGCAGCTCCTATGCTATCCAATAGCCCGCCAGCATATGATTCTGTTTTCTGATTCCAACCAGTTACATCTCTGTAGAACCATACATGACAACGCCCCTTCAGCCCTATAATCTGTAACATGTAAAGTTCGTGAACCCTGTACCCTGGTAACAAATAACACATGCACTCTGTATTGTCATGAGTATAGGAGATAGTCATCTTCCCGAGGCAAGAGAGTTAACTGATTGTCCATTTTCCACCCTTGCCAAACTAGACTGGAATTTTCGTTGTTTGATTGAAGTGCCACCATGGCTATTACGAGTTATGTCCCTTCTATGTCACACCTATTGACCAATCAGATTTCACCTCTCATATCACTTGCATAAATTTGCTTCAAACAAAATGGCGCTGACCAGTCAAGAAGTTGTGATCGATAATCAAGATCTTTATTGTCATAAAATGGGTCTTACCTTACTAAGTGCATCAAATCACCTGATTAAAAACATGGAAATATTTGGAAAATATTTGTCAATGCCCAGTTGACAGGTACACATACTCTGGGAAACCCAAATCTTCACGGTGGTCGCCATGTTGTTTATGAACCGGAGGTCAGTTTGGTTCCATAAATTGTGATTGGACTATGCATAGACTCATTGGTCAAGCCAAAATATAACTCCATAATACCAGCCTAGTTCTGCAAGGGTGGAAGCTGGACTTTTTTTGGACTCCCTTGCCTCGAGAAGATGGTGATAGTGATATTTGAAATTATGTATATATGTCAGTCACAAGAGAGCTTTGCTCAGATTTAAGATTTCTGATTTAAAATTGAATTGTCTGTAGAGGAGGTCACAGGAAATCAGCCCTTATTGACTGATCACAGTATATTTTTGTTCTGCCGTCCTATATTTAATCAAAATGAAGAAGACGAGATTATACTTGTACTCTCCATGTTTATAAGTACCACGTATATACAGTATCCAAGGTTTTAGTGTTAGTTTTAATATACAATCTACAGTATTCTCCAGTTGCAAACCTTCACCTCCTCTGAAGCTTTGCTTTCAGTTTTTGTGCCCTCTCTTCATTTGGGAGTTGGGAGCAGTGAGTGGATGTTTCTATTTTGGTCAGCAAGTCCGAAGCCCTGAACAAACTCAATCAAATCAGTTCTCTTAATCCAATACAATACCTCCCTGCGTGAAGTCATTCTATCAGCATTGAGTCATATCTGGATTCTGTATCTCAAAAATGAATACTATCGGGTAGTTCCAAATGCAAAAAAAAAAAGCTGTTCTGTTATTTTGTGTACATTTTAATCTTTTCATTTCCAAACTCCTTTGCATCTACACCCAAAAGCGTGTACTACGGAGGGTATATTTGTGTTCTGTGGCAGTTTTCGTTTGCAAAGATCAGAATTTCCCAATTGAGACAGGAAAGAAATGAAGCTGAGTTGGCTGAAGAACCCACACATCCTTGGTTTTAATTGGGCAGTCAAAAGTTCCCTCAGCGTTCACCTGGCATGACCTTTTATGGAGGTATTTAAAACAATATTATTTCGGAGGTGCCAACAGGGAGGATATTTTTAACCAAAAATAACAATAAACATTCATTGTCCGCCATCGCAAAGGACAGAGAGGAAGTATCGAGTTATATATGAATCACTTGTTTAATTGCCAAGAGTGACGGTATGTCAATGATTTAAGCAGAAATTTTGGGAGAGGTATATAATTGCCTGGTACCTGATGAAAAGGTTTTAGTCTAATTTTTTTCACTACCACTCAATATTTAAAAACAAATTGTATTCATGTACGGTTTTGAAAAGCGCACCCCTTTGTCAATTTGTAAGCGTCCCAGACACTTATTGTGTCAAATACCATAATTTTGTCACAATTTGATAGACATTTATGTGTAACTTACAAAGGTTTACTACTGTTTTATTTTGATATGATGATTATTCTGTATGAATGTTTTACTGTTATGCAGCCATCTTTGTTACATTTGTGAGCCTTGTTAATGATTTTCATGGAAGTTTGTTGATGCTGTTCAAACAATGGCTTATACACTTGATTTCCACATTTCTTTGTTTTGAAAGAAAAAAGTTATTTTTGATAACTTTTTTCACAGTGCTATATTCAATGCGATAGGGAGCTGTTCAAAAGTTCCTCATAGGATAAAATACTTAATTTTGTAGGTTTTGAGACATACACACAAAATATTGTGAAAATGTTGACATTGGTCGATTAACATTAGCATTCGGTTGAGGTTTATGGATCAAATGATTAAATAACACAAATGATTCTATTATGGACTAACTTACTTGAATTTTTTTTTCTTTCACTTTATTCCATCAATGCCATAACGTGGCTCAAGCCAAAATACCAAATTTTTTGTTGGAAAAACATATGATAAAGCGGCATAGCATATGTTTCCATGGTTACAATGGGATGTCATTTTTCAACTGTCACTTTTGGTTGGAGGAAAGATGATGGGATGTCCTCAGATCTTTGTTTGGCAGAAGCTAAAACTAAGTTCTGATTTAATGAGATTGTTACAAGCCTCGGCCCTATCAAGCATTCACGAAATCATGAAATCTATCTGTCACATAGGACTTCCCTCCAAAAATTAACTGACATTTAGCATTGTATTCTCACCCAAACCACTGTCTGAGTAGAACAAATCACATGCTTGATAAGTAGCAACTTGTGTCTATATTCTTAGGGATCCATGAAGATCTGGGGTAGAATAGGTCTTCAGCAACCCATGCTTGCTGTAAAAGGCGACGATGCTTGTCGTAAGAGGCAACTAGCAGGATCAGGTTGTCAGACTCGCTAACTTGGTTGATGCATGTCATTGATCCCAATTGCATGGATCAATTCTCATGATATCAATCACTGGATTGTCTGGTCCAGACTCGATTATTTACAGGCTGCCATCATATAGCTGGAATATTGCTGAGTGAGGCGTAAAACAACAAACCAATCAACTATATTCTGAGGAAAAGATGTTTTGAGGCTGTTTCATGCCCTTTGTCAATATGATGTACATGTATCATCCTTTCAATGTGGGGTATATTTTTGCAAATCATGAATGTTACTTAAGAGGTTTTCACTCTTAAAGAATGAACTGAAGGACATAAAGACTTTTCAGCTGATTAGAATTACGATATGAATTCAGTCTGCATGTCGCTTATTGTCATGGGTAGTGGAAGAGCTTGTGGGTATGTAAAACAGTATTTTTCACTCCAATAATAGGGGCGGTCGGGTAGCCTAGTGGTTAAAGCGTTCACTCGTCACCGATTGTTGGGCTTCGTGTGAAGCCCATTTCTGGTGTCCCCCGCCGTGATATTGCTGGAATATTGCTGGAATATTGCTAAAAGCTGTGTAAAACCAAACTCACTCACTCACTCACTCCGATAATAGTCACTTGTATTTTCTGATCATAGCTGTTGAGTTGGACACAAAGTATATCAAGTGGCCTATGTAATGATGTGTTTGCTGTATTCCTGTGTACAGGAGAAGTATAGCCTATAGAGTAATTAGCTGTGGTTGCATAATTATAGGTGTATGTTTTCATGACTTGTGGGGAAGATCTGTATTTCTATAAAATGACATAGTAAATATTGTATCAAATGTTTAATTGTTGTTTTTGTTTTTTCTCGCAATATTTGAATATGTAGAAAAACTGTAACATGACAAATGTAACATTTAATTTTATGCAGGTTGACTGTGTAGCATTCAGTGATCACATACTGGATTCATTTGAAACTGTGGCACCGGTAGCCTAGTGGTTATCATAGCATCAGCTTGTCATGCCTGGGTTTGATTCCCAACAATGTGTGAAGCCCATTTGTTCCTCCCTCTGCTGTGATATTGCTGGTATATTGCTTAAAGCAGGAATATTAGACACGCTTGATCGAAGGGAATTCCAGGCAGCAATGTGCCAGATCCAACATACTCTTTGCAGGTAGACAAGAACTTGAGGGCTTCCCACAGCAATGTGCCAAGTCCTACTAATGGGGTACAATGACTTCCTTGAAGGGAATTCAAGGCAGCAATGTGCCAGACCCCACATACTCTTTGCAGGTAGACAAGAACTTGAGGGCTTCCCACAGCAATGTGCCGAGTCCTACTTTTGGCGTACAATGACCGAGGGGCAGACAGGGTAACAACAAGCACCATCTTTAAACGTCTTTTGGAATGTCGTGTACAGAGGACTCAACCACTGACCTTCCGCTATCCAGGCAGACTCGATCCACTACACCAGATGGCTGCAACCAGTTGAACAAAATAACAAACACGTGTTCACATCATACATACTTTAATATACGGCTCCCAGACCGAAATGAAGACCGGAGATATATAAGAGTGTCTACATACAAGTGTTTACACCTGAATTTACAGACTGTTTACATGGATAAAAACTTACAGATTTGCCTTCTTCAAATTGTGTTTCTAAGAAATGATCGTAATATTAATCAGTTCTGACGTGTGAAAATTTAAGACACATTGATGTGTAAGATGACGAGATGTCGCAGTGCAGGTCGACATTCAGACTTTTTGAAGTTTCTATCCTTGTAAACTTTCTTACATGATCTGCTATACATAAGTGCAATTATGATATGTCTGAGAGTCTCAATCATCGAACACACACCAGTCATTCGATCAGAATGTGCAAAGCCTGCAGGGATCCAGGGTTAGAAATAACACTAGCCTGCTAGCCCGAGGCTAGTACAAATTTCAAAATTTCCCCATTGTATTAACATTACAAGGGCATTTTATCTTCAACCAGGCTAATTAAGCTTTTCAGTTTAGTTCTAACCCTGGGATCGTATTCCAAAAAGTTCCCAGGGTTCAGAGGCCCATTTCACAAAGCGATCGCAGCGCTATTTAAACTGTCGTAAGTATGTGTTGAAGTATAGGAGTTACGATAGTCGTAGCGCCATGAGTTCTCTTTGAAAGGGGCCCCGGGATCACACCAGCACAGATGCAACATCTACACTAGAAAAAAAGTTGTCCAGTGGATATAAAAATATGAAAGTGTTTTTTACAGTTGTACGTTTGCAAAAAAGGTGTAGACAGCATTATTAGCATCGGCATGTATGAAATAGATCTTCGTGGTTGACAATTTCATGTTTAAAGTCAAATTTAAGTTGAAATTATGTATGCAGTTTGGGTATATCAAGTCTATTACTAAGTCACACAGTGAAAAGCATCTCCTCTGGGCTAGAGGTGACGCACACAGGTACTGCCTGAACATACACTAATAAAGTTACATGGTGTGGTTTTTGTGCTTTGCACAAATCAATAAGGCGCTTAATTACTGGCAACGAAAGGCTGGCAGTCATCTAGGCATCATATGGGTTTGGTTTCATAGAGGAACACAACATTGCAGACACTCTGGTACAAATAAAGAAGTCATTTGTTAGCAGGAGAAGGGTCGGAGTTGAGTATAGAATATTTCACTGCTACAAGTTAATGCTGTTTTTCAACATGATACAAATTGTTATCCCGAGGCATCTGACTATCAGGGTCTGCTGCCATTGGTCAGTTGATATTGTCCTTATTACCTGACCAATTCAATTGGACATTTGATATCAGTATTCAATCAAGTTGTGATATTCTGAGTCATTCAGAAATATCCATTAATTAATCCTTGTGGGAAGAATGTATTCCTACGACTACTAAGTAGATTTCTACTGATTTTGTTATTGCATATTTCTAAATACATGTTAATACATCTCAGGGCTGGGACGATACACCAACTGCACAATCCGATATGTATCACGATACCTTGCTCACAATCCGATTCGTATCACAATACTTGCACATGCTCTTATCGGTGATGTGTAAGGCATCTTTTTCATAGGCAGGATGGCCAAATACCTGGCACACTGACAATTTACTATTGGCATTGTCAAGTATGGCGCAACGGATGAAGATATTTACTTCCATTTTCACTAGTAATTATTTTTTTTGTGTAACATTTATAAAAGAATACATTTAAGGTTAAAATTGATACTTTTTACTTAGTGTGCAAGTGTGATCGATACTTGTATCAAGAAGTGAAAAATCACGCTGCATCGGTGTTTCATCCCACTTCTAATACATCTCCCAGTGTATATGGTGATACTTGAGTGGAACTACAAAAATATGTAACTAGTGTGGATTTTGATTATACTTTCACGGATTCCATACACAAATGCAAATTGTGACTTTCATGGTGCACTACAATGAATCCAGTTGTATGAGGTGAGACATGGAATTTGAACATATCTATGAGAGTTTATGTTGATATGATACACAGTGAATAGAACTGATATCGGGATAAAAATTAGTTAAAATGAACCAGTCCCGAAGTGATTCTGATCACATCTGCCTAGTACATCTTTACCAGACCACACACTCAACAGATATTGAGCATTAGCAGCAGGTTAGGTTTTCAAAGAGTTCAGCATGTCTATCATGTAGAGGTCACCCTGAAAAAAAGGTGTAAATTATGTCTCTACTACATAAAGATTCAAAATTTACCATTTTGCTCAGAAAATTCTAATTTAATCTAATAATGCACACTACTGTATACCTGAACACATATGTGCCATTTTGAATACAAAAACTCCTATGTGCCTGCATTGTCATCATAAAGCCATACGATAAAGAAGAGTTGTAAAGTTGACTAAATAAATCCCATTATACACAAGGAAAGGTACAGACAGAGCATGCACTCTCGTCTCACAACATTAATATTAGCACTTGGTCTCGTAGAAAATTGATTGCATTTGTTGAACAAGGCAATTACAGCTTCTTTGGTTCATACCGCTCTTGTGGAACTGGTAAACTATGAACAACCACTTGCTGACTTGCACCCATGATTGACTCCCTTCAGTCACACAAGCTTTAGGGGTCCCTCAATCACAAACTTAGAGAATAAGAACAAATCATGTATAAAATTTCATTTGGGAAATAAAGTATTGACATGGATAAACATGTAAATAATAACAGTCGACTTCAACACGCAACACAGACAACAATTAGAAGCAACAAACAATATGGCGGCATTCCAAGGGAGACAACTCAAGGTGCCATCAAAGCCTGTTTCTTGTGTTGAGGATAAAAGATTGTATCTGTCAAATGCTGTAGTTCGGTGGCAAATTAAAACCAGGAAATACTAAACCAAGCTTTGTGCAATTTCATATTGAGGTATAAGGCTTGCTGTATTCAGCATGATGGATTGTTTAAGACTGTAGAAATTAATGCATTCTGACATTCAAATTTATCTGTCTCTATTATGACTGAAATCAAGGATTGCATAAAACCATTTCATTACTTACAGGTACATATTTCCCCGAGTTGTCTCCCTGTGTGGCACACATAATTGAACATCGCGATCGAGACAACGGGAAGTTGTGAGCAAATCACACTCTTGAAAATGTTTCATTTATTGAGCATATTGTCATCTACATCACAATAGTTTGTCTCCCTTGTCCAAAACTTAACACTATTAAATTGTTTCATAGCACTCACTTATCAAGTTATCAGTTTAAATGAAAATCTTTATGCATTGTTCAAGTTTGAGCATTTATGGAAATCAGCATTTCTAACACTTTGAAGTGGCGTTAGAACCTAAAATACCTTCAAGTTTGTAAGATAAATATAATGATAACATCAAAGACCTGCCTTTGATTTATGATGGATGTTAGCATCACAAATTAATAAAAATTTGATGAATATGTTTTCAATATCAATGTACATTCTGAGACCTGGCTGTCGCTAATGGTCACAAATTGAGACAAGCAATTTCACACCTCAGTCAAGGTTATATAACACATAGGGTCAAGGTTATACCACATGGGGTCAAGGACATTAATACAGGTCAAGGTTAATTAGAAGGTAAAGGTTACAAAGGAGGAGTGAAATCTTTTTGAAAACATGATTACACCGGACCCTGGACAATGTGACCAGGACACAGAAAATATGACGATAAGTTATACTGATCTGATTATCTTACAGACTGGCGGGGTATACTGAACCGTAACACATGTGAATACTTCTCAAGGTACTTCAATCAAGCAACACAGCAGTCAGACAGGAAATCTGTTAAACATTACACTGATTTTCTGCATATTTTCACATATCTCAAAGTAATTTGGAAATATATTCACAAAAGAAGTATCCATTCCATCAGGGACTTGAACTTATTTTCCAGAGGCTTAACAACATGTCTCCTTTCCATACACTGATTGAGCTCTTGCGCCGATTTGAACATTTTCAGTTATATCACAGCGGGTTGTCAGCGTGGGAACAAGGCCGGAAGTGAGCGACTATGCACAGTAAAATGTTGCACCACAGACTATAGGTCATTCGATCATCTCACAAACAGGAGTGCTTACAATTGATTTCACTTGTAAATGTGGTTCTCAATTATTAGCAGGAGCTTTCATCAACTTGTAAATTCAGTCATGTGACCAGAAATAGAACATCCCTGAAAATCCTGACACTGTGTGATTGTTTGGCAACTGAGTGGATCGGCCCTCAACTGGACATGAACGTGTAGGTAGCTATGTATTACACAGACAAATATACCATACCAAAAATGATGACATTTAGTTCCCTTATGACATGAATGGGTTCTCCAGAAAATCAATGTCTGACATGTTCATACAATTTACTTTTTATACAGAATCTATAATACATTGGTATATTGCATGGGTAAAATACGTCGAGATGTGTTGATAACTGTACCACTGCACAATCGTGATACAAGGAATAATACAATCCTTGGATCGGCATTAGCTTGATTTCTAACATGTAGTTCTTTCTGTACACACGTAATGGTATTTGTTGCTGAGGGCTTGCAGGAGCATCAACTCCTGGGTCACTGTCATGGGAAGATCACTAAAATACCCATCATGGGTTTTATCACGTCCCACGTGTCTGGTACCATCGTACAAGTTTCCAGGCATGGAGGGGCGTACACACTACTGTACACACATCAGAACTATCACTGTACTGATAATCACTTTGTGACACGCTTTCCGTCCTAGCTGCATGTTGTCCTCAAGACTGACCATCTGTGTCCTTCATTTCAGTCATGTGACAGCTTCCACGAAATCTTAATTCTCCAAACAAAACAGGAGAAATCGTTCCTTTCACTTTCTTGGCCAATCAAATGTGTCCATTTCACTTTTCAGCCAATCACAGCTGCCTTCAAAGTATTCATTTCTTCTTCATCTGCTTCTTCTGTTCCTTCTCTCTGGCTTTCCTCTCCTTCTCCTGCTGTTTCTTCTCCTTCTCAATGGCAGCTTTCAGTTCCTTAATCTTCTTCTTGAGTAGTTCGCGATCTTTACCATTGGTTATCCCTAGACTCTGAAACACAGGAGGAGGAGCACTGGTAATGGGGAGTGTTCTATTTAATTATTATTGATTCATTTCCACATGATTACATACTCTGCTACTCATCACTAAAGCAGGAAAAAGATGAATATTTCTGAACAATCATCTCAAATACAGTCCAGTGATCGATATTGTGAGCACCGATCCACAATGACATAAGCCACCCAGACTACCCAATCAATTTGGTCACTTCTACAACACAGTTTGCTGAGGACGTATTAGTAATAAAATAATAATAATATGGCTATTTCTTTCGCGCAAAATTCCACATCACTGAGGGACATGCTCAATGCGCAACATAGCATATGTACATATATACAACAGAGGGGGGACAGTATGATGATAAAACTATGCACATTCCAACCCAGAATCACTTGTACTAACCTTGAGTTTGGAACCGTCCATCTGGAGCAGCTGTGGTCCCGAGATGTTCCTGTCCTGGAAGGCATCATTGTACTTGTCGAGCTCCAGCAGGATGAGCCAGCGACACACATGCTCCGAAGTCCAGTCCAACGGGGGCACTGACTCAAACTGGTTCTGGTTACGTTTATTGGGAGCAACCATCTCCTGAGAATGATAAATAGATGTGTAAACATTTGCTGGGCATAAATGAGATACTTCAAAACAAAATTTCTATGCATGATTTAACCTTTGATTGCAGACTATTTTACAGTTCACATAAAATAGGACCACTGCATGTATCAAATAGTAGAATGTGGATCATATTATATTTAAGGATATCCCAAGTATTATTACCATGATATATCTAGTATTATCAGGGTTTCCCCAGTATTCTTATCAGCATACATTTTATTATTGTATTTTGATCTGGATATTGTTGGGATATCCCTGGTAGTTTTATCAGGTTATCACTCATATTTACATCATGATATCCCTGGTTCTTAACATCATGATATTCCTAGTATTTACATAATGATATTCGTAGTATTTACATCAGGATATCCCCGGTACTATCATTCTGCTATCCCTGGTATTTACATAAAGATATTCGTAGTATTTACATCAGGATATTCCTAGTATTTACATAATGATATTCGTAGTATTTACATCAGGATATCCCCGGTACTATCATTCTGCTATCCCTGGTATTTACATAAAGATATTCGTAGTATTTACATCATGATATTCCTAGTATTTACATAATGATATTCGTAGTATTTACATCAGGATATCCCCGGTACTATCATTCTGCTATCCCTGGTATTTACATAAAGATATTCGTAGTATTTACATCAGGATATTCCTAGTATTTACATAATGATATTCGTAGTATTTACATCAGGATATCCCCGGTACTATCATTCTGCTATCCCTGGTATTTACATAAAGATATTCGTAGTATTTACATCATGATATTCCTAGTATTTACATAATGATATTCGTAGTATTTACATCAGGATATCCCCGGTACTATCATTCTGCTATCCCTGGTATTTACATAAAGATATTCGTAGTATTTACATCAGGATATTCCTCATTTTGTCATCGGGATATTCCTCGTATTGTCATCAGGATATTCCTGGTATTTACATCAGGATATTCCTGGTATTTACATCAGGATATTCCGCTTATTTACATCATGATATCCCTGGTATTTACATCATGATATCCCTAATACTGATATCCCAAGTATTGTCATCAGGATATCCCTGGTATTGTCATCAGGATATGCCTAGTTTGCTAGCAGGATATCCCTAGTATCGTCATCAGGATATCCCTGGTATTGTCACCAGGATATCCCTAGTATTGTCATCAGGATATCCCAAGTATTGTCATCAGGATATCCCAGGTATTGTCATCAGGATATCCCTAGTATTGTCATCAGGATATCCGAGGTATTGTCATCAGGATATCCCAGGTTTTATCATCAGGATATCCCTAGTTTGCTATCAGGATATCACTAGTATTGTCATCAGGATATCCCTAGTATTGTCATCAGGATATCCCTAGTATTGTCATCAGGATATCCCAGGTATTGTCATCAGGATATCCCTAGTATCGTCATCAGGATATCCCAGGTATTGTCATCAGGATATCCCAGGTATTATCATCAGGATATACATAGTTTGCTATCAGGATATCACTAGTATTGTCATCGGGATATCCCAAGTACTGTCATCAGGATATCCCAGGTATTGTCATCAGGATATCCCTAGTATTGTCATCAGGATATCCCAGGTATTGTCATCAGGATATCCCAGGTATTGTCATCAGGATATCCCTGGTATTGTCATCAGGATATCCCTACTATCATTATCAGGATCGATATTGTTAATAAGTACATGTTCACCCTTTTATTATGCCCACCATATTCCCTAGCTCATCATCATGTCCGCATCTCTTGACATCAAGATAAATTCAGTTGCCTATTTACTTGCTGTGGGTCTGAAGATGAAACTCAGACATGGAACATCATCACTGGCCAACATTCAACAAAGAAGCTGAGGATTCTGAGCTCTACAAGCTTCTCCTCGTTAGTTCCTCCAAGCTTCTCCTCGTTAGTTCCACACTTACCCCTGTTGCTGGTGTCCCTGAAATGTTGAACCTGCTTGACTTCCCCTCATCATCAAGTTCAGACACCATCAGCGATGACGAAATTTCACTGGTTGTGCTGCTGCCACCTAACAGGGAAATATCACAATGAGCACTGGGAACACGTTTCAAACTGATCATTGAATAAAAGTTCAAATCTTTTGTTAAATCAAATAAACTTTTACAATAAGTACATATGAGTAATTATAACATTCTTTCCACATATATATGTTCTTTTACCATTCCTATTATTTTACAAATAAAATCTTATTCCACACTTGAATCTCTCTGTGATTTCCATTTCAGAAGTCGTTAAAGAAGAAAGTATTTCAAGAAAATAAGACTTTAAGATTAGGAGTAATAACATTCACATATTCCAAGGGGTAAAGTCAAAAGGAAACAACATATTTTTAAATTTCAGATGCGATCATATTTACAAGAAAAAGGTTCTACATTCAATATATAAGTGTTGTCTGTTTGAGATGGAACAGGCATTTGATCTCTGGAGCTGAAAAAAGTTGTCAGACATTGTTGACGAATGAAAGATTGAGAAATGACATGCACGTTCCTACCAGACTGACAAAGGGATCCCTACACTATTCATGCGTAGTGTACATTCAGTTAGTTCATGGAAGGGTTAAATCCTTTCCCATGCAATATAAATCCTTAGCCACTGTAAGAAAACATGCCATGACTGTCACGGACATTATAGAAAAGAATAATTTCAACAAATAACACATATAATCGAACAAATACGTACGTAAGCATATAGCAATCACAACACAAAGAAAAAAAATATGATTGAAAGTCAAGAGTTTATGAGAAATACAGGAAAGATTCAGTTCAAGACAGGAAAGGCATTATCAAATGTTCCCCAAATAGGAATTTGATAATTAAACTTATAGCTTATTAAAAGGCCGAAATGTGTTTCAAATTCACTAACTTCTTGTTCATTTCACAGAACCAAGTAACTTACCGTCATAATCATATAAGCCTGTATCTATGTTTTTTTTAGAAATGAGAGTTATCCCCCCCTCATCAGAGGTGGCAGGACTGTCACGTGGTCGGCTAGACAGCAGCACAACGCCACTGTTGCTTGAGCTGCCCCCGCCAAAGGACTTGGGCTTCAGCGAGAATTTAGGAAAACCAAAGCCTGCATGAGGAACAAGTTGTATGTCAAGTCAGTTATATACAGGTGGGCGGGGATGGACAAACACGTGGGCAGCTGGCTTGGGAGGAGGGTGCAGGAATGGACATCCTTGACTGATCGGACAATACATATATTGATATGAGACAGCCTGGCGATTAGTCTGTGTCCCAAGCAGGCTAGAGTGCACGTATGGATGAACTGGGACAATGGAACATTGTTGTGTCACTCTAAGTGTTGTAGGGCAGGGTAGTTTGTTTACTGTTGTGCTATGTAGGAAATGCTTGGTGTGGAATAATAAAGCAAGGCGTGGCATGGTGGTGTGTGTCGTGGCATGGCATGGCGAGGCATGGTGGGTGGGTGGCATGGCGTGGTGTGGCATGGTGGTGTGTGTCGTGGCATGGCGTGGCATGGTGGTGTGTGGCATGGTGGTGTGTGGCGTGGCATGGCATTGTGTGGCATGGTATGGCATGGCGTGGCATAGCTAGGAATTTAAGGCATGGTGTGGCATGGTTTGTTGTGAAGTGGCGTGGCGTGGCGTGGTGTGGCAAGGCATGGTATAGCATGGTAAGGCATAGCTAGGAATTTAAGGCATGGTGTGGCATGGTTTGTTGTGAAGTGGCGTGGCGTGGCGTGGCGTGGCGTGGCATGGTGTGGCAAGGCATGGTATAGCATGGCAAGGCATGGTTTGGTGTGGTGTGGTGTGGTGTGGTGTGGCATGATGTGGTATGTATGGTACAATGTTGGCAAGGCATAATGTGGCATGGCATGGCATGGTGTAGTGTGGTCAGGCATGGTGTGGTATCTTGAAAGGTTGTGGAGAGACAAGGTGACACTGATGAAGATTCAGGGTCAATGTGGATAAAAACTGAATAGGGAAACAGGTAGGGTTGTGGTTTGGGGCAGAAAGAGAGAGGATACTGGTGTTGCAGTGGCTGCAACAATGGTTAAGGAATTAAACAGGAGCATCAACATGGATAAGGACATATGAGATGAACTGAAACTTTGATCTGGGCAGAGAGCAAATGTGTAACTTCAGTCAAATGTAAGTGTCCGAGGAATACAGCTAGACAAACAGCATTGGTGTCCAATAACAGTCAATGTTAACCAGTGTTAGGTTTCATTATACCGTGAGTGAATACATTGTTGGCTTACAGGGGTGAGTTGTGTGAATGTTGTGTTATCCCACAGTCAGTAATATTACAGCTTTTTTAATGCCACCTGCAGGTGATCAGGTCTTGGCTTACAGGGGTGAGTTGTGTGAATGTTGTGTTATCCCACAGTCAGTAATATTACAGCTTTTTTTAATGCCACCTGCAGGTGATCAGGTCTGGACCAGAGGAACCGGTTGTTGACAGCAGAAGCAACAGTCCAAATTATCTTCACACAAAGACACAAAAGAAGCAAGGTCACATATTGTAGCTTCCTGATCCATCAATGGAGAATTCAGTTTTGGCAGCCTTCTCAAAGGTTAATAAAGATTTAAACTTACAATTGAATAGGTGAAAAACACTTTTTATCCTATGAGTGATCCTTTATGTAACTCTGTCAGTCTCAAGTAACATTTGTTTGTTTGTTTGTTGTTAAACGCTGCACTCAGCAATACACCAGCTATACGAGAGTGCCTTTAAATAATTGAGTCTGAACTGAGAATGATTCGTGCCATCAGTGGGCAATGACTATGCATCAAGCTGTCAAAGAGCCTGACCAATCATTCGATCAAACAAGTCATCTCTTACGTAGGTTGCTGGGGGGTCTATAACCCAGAATCCTGACAGTTCCAAGTAATAGCTGATGAGAATGTCCGCTGACTAACTGGCATGTGGCTAAAGGACTAAGTCTGTGCTGTTTCAAACCCCATTTCGGCTAGACCACCACCTATTAGATGTATGTAGGACGAAGCCAGAAGTCACACAGGTCACAGGTGTTTACCTTGTTGAAACCCACAACTCAGGCTGACATGACAAACCAAGAATGAAAATGCGGGTGATTCTAGGAATCAAACCAACCATCAGCATGTCCTGCCAACTTAGGGAGGAACCTTAGTCCACTGAGCCACCCATGTCCCCTTGAACGAAGTGAAATGACAACATAGGAAGCAATGGGAGGCAACAGAATGTCCCAACGACGTCAACAGAATGTCCCAACGGCCTCAGCAGATTGTGAAAAGACTTGAAGACAGAAGACAATGACAATAGAAGACATGAATTCTGAAACCAGGGCCTCGTTCCACCAAACTACCTCGGCACTACGACTGCCTTAACTCTCATATACACCAATAACAGCGTTAGAGCTAGATTGTATTGTGGAACGAGGCCCTCAAACAGAAGGGGAGGATCTATAAGACGGCCTCGATTCACCAAACTACCTCGGCACTACGACTGCCTTAACTCTTATATACACCAATAACAGTGTTAGAGCTAGATTGTATTGTGGAACGAGGCCCTCAAACAGAAGGGGAGGATCTATAAGACGGCCTCGATTCACCAAACTACCTCGGCACTACGACTGCCTTAACTCTTCTATACACCAATAACAGTGTTAGAGCTAGATTGTATTGTGGAACGAGGCCCTGAAACAGAAGGGGAGGATCTAATATTGGAATTTGTCAGAGGGATAGGGCAGCATTTGTGTGTTATTTGCTTGTTCACATAATAATTAGTGAAAAACACTACATTCCGAACTAGCGACTGCAGTTGCAAGAACAAGAACAATGGTTCACAATATGACAGTAGTACAGGCAACGATGTACCGATTCATATATAACTTACAGATCTGATCAATCTGATCCTTAAATACATGACATTTAGATGACTGTCATCTCTGTAGAACTGGCAGCAAGAACTATGGTGGAATTGCCAAAAAATATTTAACAAGACTTTCCAAAAAGACCCAGTAGAGTTGGTCCTGAAATGCTAATTTCCAGATGGGCAAATGAGACTTTTTCTTTTAACATAAAATGATTAATTATTCAGAAAAATTAGTCTTTAATGTCAGACTTTTTGAAATAGGAACCAAAATGCAAAAACTCCTAAATCCTGATGATTTTGCAAATAACATATGTGTCTTGATTAATGGGGATTTAGTGTATTTGAAAGATCACAGCTAGCAATGACTCCCCTACAACTGTAAACACAAGATACTGTATGGATGACAACTTGTTACAACTGCAGACTGAAGTGGTGAAAGTAATGTTATTCCTCTTGTGCTTATCTTGACATTGAAAGCTCGCTTCTAGAGAACAGAACTATTGACCTGTTAGTACATTTGTTAAAAGGGGCTAAAAAAGGAGTGTAACATCTGATACATTAGTGATTAATATACAAGTGTTACCCACATGAAATGTGAATTAGTAAATACACCCAATGTTGTTGGTAAGCCCGTCTGGGGACGTTTCACTCTGGCTGTGTTAATACTGTAAACTTTGTGGGTCTTATAAATAATTAATTAAAAGTTGTTTTGAAAATAAACACATTTTGTTAATGTATATTGACAATTCACACATCAACATGGACAATCATAAATAATCAAATAAAATTTTTAAAATACCTCAAAATTATCCATGCTCAACAAATTCACATATCAACATCACAACTCAAACTTAAAACAATTTCAAAATACACCCAAATTATACACACTGTTAAAAAAACACTTTTGTTTTATGGAGGTGTTAAATCACTCTAATAAAACAAAGCACTTCAAGAAATACTCACTCGAAACTCTATCAGTGTTATAATGTTAGATGTAAATTGGACTGTGGCTATCACACCCATAAAACACTGGTGGTGTATGTGACACTGATCATGCATATGTCCTCTAATGTCAGACAATCATGCATACATACAGGCACACAGTTCGTGTCGACTACAGTGTATCGATTACTGTCTATCAGAGTTCACAGTTGGGCTATCTTTCGTCTTGGTTCACATGGACGTAGGTAATCATAAGGATGGACAAAGAACTATAATTTTATTTTATTTTGCAGTAAACCTTTTTTCTTACCTATAAAATCGAATTAACATATATAGATCTATTTATTAAAACATTTTTTTAAAATAAAAATATTTTTTAGGATATCTTTTTCACAGGAAGTTCATCAAGTTTTTCTGCACACATTTGGCATATTTTCAAAAGATTATTCTGTATTCTAAGCTATCCGAGATGTCTCAGAAACATGCTTTCATATTGTGTTATTAATTTTAATAATTAATTGCAGAAACACTTAATGTTGCTATGGTAACCAATGTAGTATTTCAACTTCCATTGTAACAAGTCATTGAGGAATTCATGGAAGATAATTAATTTATACTTCCCAAAATGTAACTTAACTGTAGGTGTTTGCAAGTACACTAAACTACGCTTATAACAAACAGGCTTACAACGAACTGACATATAAAACAAACTATTTTTGGTCCCGGACATTTTCTGTACATTTTATCATATAAAATGGATGGATACAATGAACAAGCTTATAATAAAATAACGGATATAGCAAACTCAATTTGTGGTCTTGTGTGTACTCTGTCAATGACAATGTTTATGTTTATAACGAACTGTTAATCTTTGATCTGCTCTTGTGTCTCCAATCAGCCTATGAAAACATCTGCGGCCATGCACGGCAGTTCAAAGCGCAATACACAAATGAAGACAAGTGACTAGATCCCATTGTCCTCAATTTTCACATTGTCCAAATCCACATCTTTACAACCTATAGCCTTGTTAGAACCAAGAGTCAAGATAGCCCTGTGCTGTCTGTACATGGTTAAGTTCAAGGTGAACAACACTACCTCAGTCAACAGGCATTTCTTACCCTTAGATCCAGATCCTTTGGCAGGCATATGAGTGTTCTCCCCTGAGTGACTCTCTCCCGAAAAATCAGGAATCTCAGCATCCATATTTCGAAAATTAGGCTGTGATGGATCATAGGACGTCTGAGAAACTGATGAAGAATTATCAGAGTGGCTCCCTCTTCTGGAAAAAATGTGAGTGACTCTTGGGTCAGAGATAACAGAAGTGGTGGCATCGATTTAACATGGAAGAAATGAGTGAGATCATCTGGACAATTATGTAAAAGTTAAGAGTTGACTTCAAGGAGGGATAAATACATAATGGTATAACATTCACAAGAAAGAAACCATCACCGGATCCAGATGATTTACCATTACCACAAAGTACAGTAATACACATATAGTTTAATATAAAGGGTGACAGTGCATACATCACCATCTTCCCGAGGCTACGGAGTCTACTGACTGAAAAAGTCCATTTTCCACCCTAGCTGAAATCGGCTGGAATTATGGAGTTATATTTTGGCTAGACTAAAAAGTGTATGCATAACCCAATCAAAATCGCATAACAAAATCAACATTCGGTTCGTAAACTTTCATGCAGATTTGGATCGATTGCAGGATTTGCAAAACATGTGTACCGCCAACTTTGTGTCATCAGATATTTTCCAAATCTTTTCAAGGTGCTCACGTAATTAGATGCATTTTGCAAAGTTTGACTCTTTAAATCAGAAAATATATTTTGATTATCTATCAGATTGTCTTGACTGGGTGCCACCATTTTGTTAGAGGCAAATAAATAAATAAAGTGGAATCTGATTGGTCAATAGGAGGGATATAGAAGGCACATAAACTCATAAAAGTCACTGGTGGGGCTATAATTGAGCCCTGAAATTTCATCCTTGTTCGGCAAGGGTGGAAACAGGACTTTTACAGTCAGTTAACTCTCTTGCCTCGGGAAGATGATGCATCACATGTTGGTGACAACACAAGGCTATTTTGTAGACACAACTCTGACTTACAGAAAGAAACATAGGCAAAGTAATAAATACTGCAGATAAACTAACAGAAATAAAGATACATAAGGCTGACAAGTGACTCGCAATGTAATATTTGCAAAAACTGGCCCGCAAAGTAATATTTGCAACAACTGGCAATGAAATGCATGAATGGCATGATGATGACTAATGATGATGGAAGGACAAGTTTCCATGGGAGAATTATGTCTGCAGAATTTGGAATGATTTCCTGTCAATCATGTTTGTCTCATTTGATCCTACTTATTTCCCTTCCAGTTGGAGTTGGTAAACATGCAGATATCCAAGTTGGGTTACCTAGACCGTGATGATTGTTCAGAATTATTATCACTCTCATTCACAGGGGGAGCCACCTGAGACGAAATGGGCGGAGGAGGAGCAGAGCGGGGAAGCGGAGGTGAAGGAATTGCTTCAATTGGCTGAAATGCTCGACGCTTTTTAGCATCACTTTTCCTGACTGTGCTGTCGCTGTAGATAGAGGCGTCAAAGATACCAAGGGATGTAGATCATTGTCGGTCCAGATTACTTGGTTGTCAAATTTATATTTTTTGGTACATTTTTAATGTCCCCAAATTGGAATATTGAACATTCCATTTTGATGATTCATTTAGATCTACATTCCTTGTGAACAAATAGAAATGCAAGCAGAAAAAAAGTATAGCCACAGAGTCTGATAACCACAGAGCTGAAAACGGTGTTAAAATGACGACACAAGACTGTGGCCCAGTTTATCAATAGGATCGAAATCATTATCTTTTCCATATTGGGAAAATTTGATTCTGATGAATGATGTATTGATTCTGTTTGAATGCATCATTTTAACTCATAATATTTGAAAATAAAGTTACACAACATACAATATTAAAATGAAGTTGGCAAATATAGCACAAATTATCTTAAGTATGAAAACATTGTGACATTTCACTGAAACAAAGATATCATAAGAGCAAAATGCAATGCACACATAACTGCACAAGACTTTCTAAGCCTATAGCATGCAGTAGCTAAAATTGTAAGGTTTGTCATTGTCCCCAGGTTTTAAATTTCTTATTTAATTTTAAAACAAATTCCACAACAAAATTAAATTAGCAATTTGTGTCAGTAGCTAAGGATCTAATTTTTTGCATAAAATATGAAAAAAGTGTCATTACATCTATCACCACGGTAACTGTATCCCAAAATATTAGTGTTGCAAGTCAAATAAAAATTCATTAAATTTCCCTCAGAAACAAATATTTTTGAATCAAATTAAAAACATTCCAATCAGATGTTAATGTGCTTTAATGACAAGTCTTACAAGAATGAGTTACTTACAGATAGATGAAGGCTGGCAGTCTAGGTGAGCAGACAAAGAGAGAATCACTATCTGCCACCTATGTTATAAACTAGCTCTACAGGGTATATAGCTATCTTAATCATACAGCTGCTGCAGCTATCATACTCAAGATGGAGTTGATATGCATAGAGAACCGGGGCCTGCTTCTTTAGCATCAAGCGGAACAATATCACAAGTGGCTACTAAATCTAATTACACAGAAATATTAAGGTTAATTTAGGACTTTGTAATACACAACAGGAATCAAGATATGAAGTGAGGACATGTTCGTTAGAAGCAAGGGACATTCTTCTTACATTTCAATGTCCTTGTCCTTTATAGATTTTTAAAACAAGACAAGATTCATCACATCACTTCAGATGTGACAGTTGAAGGTCTGGGATAGATTTACACACAAAAATACCAACTGATGGTACACAATGCATTATGCATTAATATAATGCATGAACAATCAAACAATTACACTAAAATTAAAGTCTGAAATGCATTATCTCTCAACAATCACAGATATCTGACTCTGCTGAGATGAAGAATTGAGGTGTCAATTATCAGTGGAAAAGAAAACCATATGAGATTAACTTTCAAAGATGAGTAACTTATTGCAATAAGTTTTGAAAGCAAATTCTCATGCAGATAGAATGAGATGTTACAAGAGAAAAAACTATCTGTAACACAACTAGTTACAGACTTAATCTATTCATCCAATGCCTAGAAGGATGTGAGAAGCATGAAGAATATTATAATGGGACTGAGGTATCATTGAGTGAGATGCAGCTATGAGTGAGGATGATGATGTGACATGCATCAGACGAGCAGATGACTGGAAAAACTCTACTCTACTCTACTCCAAAGGAACATTAATGAGTGTATTATCATCACTCTACATGTCAGTCATGTTTAAGCTACTCTAACAGAGTGTGGAAATATAACCTTTACATATTCATGGTACCAGACCAATCTAATTTCTTGTCTTGAGGATAATCCTTGACAATATGCAAGATTAAAACCCGAAATTGTTTTCATGAATATTTCAGTTTAATTTCAAAATACAAAAAAACCCATAAAAACAAAAAATAATGTATTTCTCCCTCTTTTTTTCTAAACGTAGACCGGTCCTCAAAAGAAAAATATCAATTGGTCTAGCATTATTATTGAGTATGAACATCTTAAAACCCGAATCATGTGTGAAAGATGTAATATTTACAATCATAGAATTATTTTCCCATTGGTAATTCACCATATATATTTATCCATATTTCACTTTGTCTGACCTCCAAACATAAAATAGGTAAAAGGTCAGTATGTATAAGTATGTTGTATTAATATTCCTTCTCCCAACACAGCTGTTAGAAACAAGCATCACCATCCACAGCACGTACCGATCTGCAAGCAGCAACACTCAGGAGCTGTTTACGGTGGGCAACGCTGCCAAATGGGGAACCATGTCAAAATGCTAGCTTTTCTACTACCAACTGAAGAACAACTCCGTGATTTTAGCCAGTATAGCCAGATACTGAAGACAAACTTCAAACCTCCTTCTGTCCAGTAACCTTAGCTTGCGGAATTGATGTCATTATTTACATAAAAAATCTAGTGAAGGGCAAGATGAAAATAGGAGATTCAAATGATTTTGTGCAGGCTGGATCACCCTCTTGCAAAATTCCATTTCCTCCATCTCGATTTTGGTATGTGATATATTTGATATCAGAGAAGCAAACAAGTTTTGTAAATGACCCCTAACATTATCAAAAGGAAATGATTACACAGTTTTAATACATGTACTGTTATTTCTTGACCAAGAATATATATACACAATTCAACACGAGGATTATGATGCTTGAGCAATAAGTTATATTAATTTATATTTCCAACATATCCTGTCAAGTCTATTTGTGTTTTGTGTTCCTGCCTGCATTTAGAGTCTGGTGTTTTTATTGCCCGATTGTGATTTTGACATGGTCCCTTGACCCAGATTGATTTTGACATGGTCCCTATGATTGTAGTGGAGGCTGTGAGATGTTACACAAATCCAGCGGAGTCACACACACAAACACATACAAACACCGCCCTACCTGTCATGCTTGATCCAAGTTTCCAAACCACTCTCGCTGCCATCGTGCCTCAGGCTGTCTGTGTCATTAGTGTCCTGGTCACTCTCAGACGACTGTAAACAGCCACAATGGAAATAATTGTTTTGGAAATCTAAGAAGAGTGAGCAGTATTGCAACTATATGATGCTGGCCTGTAAATAATCAAGTCTGGACCAGACAATCCAGTGATTGATATTGTGAGCAACGATCGAAGCTGATAATCCAATGATCAGGGTACGATGACACGCAATCAACAAAGTCACCGAGCCTGACCACCCGTTCCATTTGGTCACCTCATATGACCAGTATTGGTTGCTGGGGACCAATATTCTTACCTGGAATCCCTATGGGGTTCACCCTGATCTAACCCAATAAACCATGGAAGCTACAGTCACATATCAAGTGGCACATCAAAATGTAAACACGCAGGAACAAGAGGACTAAGTCATCGATACTCCACACAATGGTAATTATTTGTCTTGAATACATCAACTAGAAACATTTATCACATGTCAAATGTAATGGTATCAAAAGGCACCAGTTCAAAGAATCTTAGAATGGTTTTCAAGATCTGCTCCGGAAACGAGCACGACCACCATTTTCAGTCTAAGTCAAAGATGTCAAACTATCAAAAGGCACCAGTTCATCACTAGACCTATCTATGTGCCAAGTTTGGTCAAGAAATATTGTACGGTCTTCAAGATCTGCTCGGTAACATCTTGCACAGATATCCCTGGAAAACATGTCATTGGGTAAAAATATCCTTCACTTGCAAGTGAATGATATTTCATTCTGCAGCCAGCAATACCGAAGCTATACTACTCAAAAGAAGTTAAGGACTACCCTGTTCTTTCATATTACTCAAGTTAATCTGTCATGTCTGCTTCTTTCACATTGCTATAGTAAATCTGTATGCCATGAGAGATTAACTATAGTAACATGAGAATTGGGTGGTCCTTTACTTCTTTTGAGCAGTATATATCATAAATAATAAAGTATGGTCTGGGAAAAGACTGAAAGTATGAATGCCAATTCCAGATCTTTGGGGCTTGATGACACCAATCAGCCGAGTCACAGAGTCTCAGGAAAAACATAAGGGACCAATTATGACTTAAGTTCCACAGAGCTTACTTGTAATGCATATCTCACCTTTGACCTCTTGGTTGGGGGCCTCCTAGCGCCCATGCCGCTAGCAAGCTGAGCCTTGGCGCGGTGGGCGGAGGTGTCGAGGAGTGGGGTGGAGGGCACCGACCCCAGGTCCTGGGCGGACTCTGATTTGGTGGGGGACTTCTCCATATCATTGATGATATCTGAAGATGGCATATCACCTGAATAAACTTGTCTTATACACATGGGTCGCTTAAGTCCAAGCGTAGAGTAGAGGTTTTAGAGTCAGCAATATCACAGATACATCACAGCAATGAAACATGGCCCGGAACAAGTGGATATCGAATGAGCAATGATCCAGCTTTGAACAGAACTTACAGGATGGCTTCCATTAAATACTTTCCAAGCCTCAGTGTTCATTTCTGTATTTCTGTTGACATCCGAGACACCTTTATAATATTATTACAGACAGCAAAAATGAATATGATATTCACAGCAGTTACTAATCAAAAGGTCAGTAACAAAAAAAACCAAGAAAACAAAAAAACTAAATTTGGAAACATTAAAAATAAATTTAGAAATCATTCAAATTCCCCAAATTCATGCTACCCAGCACCACCAACATTCAGCCACATCCCCAATGCTGTGTCAACACGAAGTGCTCCAACTATTTCTACTGCAGGACATTCTTCTACCATAGTCTTATGTTCATTGTTTCAGTACTTACGTGTTCAATACAAATATCGTCATATACTTTTCGATAAGATAAATGAAATTGATTTGATTTCCTTGATCAAGAAAGGCACCACTGACTACTACCACAAGGTCATAACACATTAGAATCAGTATCTGATCAGTCATTCATTATATATGATCAAGTGGCACTATGAATTTAGTCATGACATCATTGGCCCAACAGTCAAAGAGTCATCCATCTTTGTTTTGTTGTTGTTTAATGCCACACTCAGCAATATTCCAGCTATATGACAGCAGCCTGTAAATAATCGAGTCTGGAACAGACAAGCCAGTGACTGACATCATGAGCATCAATCCCTGCAACTGTGATACGATGACATGCATCAATCAAGTCAGCAAGCCTGACCTCCCAATCCCATAAGTCACCTTTTACAACAAGCATAGTCGCCTTTTACAGCAAGCATGGGTTGCTGAAGACCTATTCTACCCCAGACCTTCATGGTAAGCTGGCATTTCACTCTGGCTGGTGTAAGAGCCCATCTAGCAGCTATATTATGTGTTACCTAGTAGCTGTATGGTTATATGAAGCATGTTAAGGTGCTCAAATATTTTATGGATTAATATTTTTAAAATCCTACTACTTGGTTTGCATTCTATTGCTTTGCTTTGAACCCATGACTAGGCACGCCTGAGGTATGCAGCTCTGCATAGCTAACCACATCTTCCCGAGGCAAGAGAGTTAACTGACTTTAAAAGTCCAGTTTCCACCCTTGCCGAACTAGGCTGGAATTCCTGGGCTCGATCGTAGCGCCACCAGTGGACATTACGAGTTATATCCTTTCTATGCCTCTCCTATTGACCAATCAGATTCAACCTCTCGTATCACTTTCATTTGCTTCAAACAAAACGGTGGCGCCCAGTCAGGACGATCTGATCGATAATCAAGATCTGTATTGTGATAAAACGAGTCTTACATCGCGAAGTGCATCAAATCACGTGAGCACCTTGATTAAAAGCATGAAAAGATTTAGAAAATATCTGTTGACAACCAGTTAGCGGTGCACATGCTTTGCAAATCCTGCAGTCGACCGAAATCTGCATGACACTTTTCGAACCGGATTTCGATTTCAGTGTGCAATTTTGATTTGACTATGCATAGACTCGTTAGTCCAGCCAAAATGTAACTCCATAATACCAGCCTAGTTCGGCAAGGGTGGAAACTGGACTTTTATAGTCAGTTAACTCACTTGCCTCGGGAATATGAGCTAATCACGGTGCCTTAGACGTCTTGGCCACCCATGCCCTGAATACTCCAAACAGATACAGGTAGGATAAAGTGATACAGTAAACTGGTCATCTTGGACTATTTCTCTGTCTTCTGTTTGTTTGTTTTCTTGTTGTTTAACGCCTCACTCAGCAATATTCCCACTTTACAAGGACAGCCTGTAAATAGTCGAGTCTGGACCAGACAATCAAGTGACTGATATGTCACCGAGTCTGACCAACCGATCCGTAAGTTGCCTCTTACGACCAGCATCGGTTGCTGAGTAGCAATTCCATCCCGGCATCCCGAGGGCTGCTTCTCTGAGTAGCATGTGTACAATGTGTAGGTGCAGGTACCTGGAGTTGTGACTGGTTCTGAGTTGGAATGGTCGGACCCTGTAGATATTTCTGAGAGGTCATCCCGGGACTGTTTGGCTGATGATAAACTTGACGTGGTGTCTTCTATAAACACAAAGTTGGTATTGGGAAGTCTGTATTTGAAATGTACTGCTTCCCGAAGAATATACTTTGTGGTTTTCAAAGAAGGGGGTACCACTTCCAAGAAACCAGCATAACTTACAAGCAACGTAAACGTTACAGGCAAGTAACAAGTGAAGACAAAACACAAACTAAACACAAACTAAAAGCCCATGAACCATGTTATTCCACTTGCACAAATGTGCTACAATAACTGGCCAGAGAGAAAACTTAAGTGTAATCTCATGTCAAAAACATTTATAGTCAATGGGTGAGACCATATGGGCAAAACATTTTTTTGAAAAAAATCCCTGGCTTTGGGTAATAATGCAAACAGGCAGATGCATCAGTGGTATGCTAACTATGTGCAGACATTCGTAAGGAAGAACAGCCAGATGATCTATGAAAAAGCTTTATGTTAAAAAGATCTATATGTATCACAAATGTGACTGTGGAAAGATACAAAGCAATTAAACTGTTACCAATCTACTACTTCCACCACCAGATCTTACCCAGTCCATTGGAGGTGGTGATAGCCTTCACGACCTCCGATTCTTCGTTATCCTTGGATGTGTCCGTGGACAAGTCAACAGGCAGACCAGCTGCCTGCCGGGCCTGGATCAGGTCCTTCTCCAGCTGGAATATCTGCAGAAGGAAGGTCAGAGGGTGAGGGAGTCGTGTTAACTCACTGGGAGTTTAATGTTGGATCATTGTTGCCAAGGATGCCATTTGGGGCAAATCAAACACCAGGGCCCCGCTCCAAAAAGCAATCTTAGCAGTAAGACAATCTTAACTCCTAATCTATAACACTGACTTACAATTATCAAGATAAGGATTACTCAGTGGGATGGGGCCCAGATGAGGGGATCCTCACATTGACCTCGACAGTACATGCAGGGTTCATTCAGATCAGTGGATCCTCACATGACTTCGACAGTACATGCAGGGTTCAGTGATTCCTCACATTGACTTCGACAGTACATGCAGGGTTCATTCAGATCAGTTGATCCTCACATTGACTTCGACAGTACATGCAGGGTTCATTCAGATCAGTTGATCCTCACATTGACTTCGACAGTACATGCAGGGTTCAGTGATTCCTCACATTGACTTCGACAGTAGATGCAGGGTTCAGTGATTCCTCACATTGACTTCGACAGTACATGCAGGGTTCATTCAGATCAGTTGATCCTCACATTGACTTCGACAGTACATGCAGGGTTCATTCAGATCAGTTGATCCTCACATTGACTTCGACAGTACATGCAGGGTTCAGTGATTCCTCACATTGACTTCGACAGTATATGCAGGGTTCAGTAATTCCTCACATTGACTTCGACAGTACATGCAGGGTTCAGTGATTCCTCACATTGACTTCGACAGTACATGCAGGGTTCATTCAGATCAGTTGATCCTCACATTGACTTTGACAGTACATGCAGGGTTCAGTGTATTCTCACATTGACTTCGACAGTACATGCAGGGTTCATTCAGATCAGGGGATCCTCACATTGACTTCGACAGTACATGCAGGGTTCAGTGATTCCTCACATTGACTTCGACAGTACATGCAGGGTTCAGTGATTCCTCACATTGACTTCCACAGTACATGCAGGGTTCATTCAGATCCCAGAGATAAAATTCTAGCACTTTTTAAGGAGAAAGAAACATTATTATGCATCCCAAACTGTCAACCTCAAAATGATCAATCAACAGTCTTAGAACTTCAAGGTATCTTTAACAGTGAGTCACCTGATGCTAAGAGGATCCTAGATGTTGCTCAATCTCATAACAGGAAAGCGAAAAGTGCTGTGAAATTAGAGAAAGAAGTATTTTTGTAATCTTTCAAGGGGATATTGGTTTCTGTTAAAATTCCAGTACATTTCATGTATATTAATACCATGGTAGCACTTTTCAACCACTTTGTTTGAGAAATGGTAAATGTAAGTAATTCACAGTGATGAAACAACCACAACTGAACATCCATGGCACACTACTGACCCTATCCTTGAGTGACTTGACCAGAGCGTTGTACTGCTGATCCTTCTCCGACTGCTGTTGTATAAGAGATTCCCGCTCCTGGATGAAGTCCTTCTCTCTGCAGCACAACAACAGAGTATATAGATAGGCTTTTGACAATAAGAATGTGCGGGAAAAGGTGACGTGAAATAGGGTTTAACTTTGTGTTCATGATTATTACACTTCCACAGCAACGAGCATCCACATGTGTGTGGGTGTGCACGGCTACTTGGACTAGTCCAAAATTATGCTGGTTTGATAGTGCTCGTCCACTGAGATACCATGCTGCAGTTTAACATGGACGCCCAACTCAGACACAATATACTCTGAACCAACCAGTCCTTTTATCCCCTGAATGTCGAGTGCCAGGCAGGGCAACAACAAATAACATCTTTTAACGACTGGCATGACGTGGCCAGGGATCAAACCACAGGCCTCTTCAGTTCTCCAGGCAGATACTCTATCCACTAGACCACAGAGGCGGCCTTATGCAAACAGGTGTCTCGTTAAAAAATGCATAATATTTTGAGACATCCAATAATTTTCAATTTAGTCTGTGATAAGTTTTCATCTTTTCCATAATTAATCTAAAGTAATATTTTTGGACCTACATGTATATCAAATTATCTGATGACAATGATGCATATATTTTATTTCCCCTCATCATGATATTAATCTGGCATCTAAAACAAGTGTTGGCTATCTTTTCTATAGGATGTAAAGGAATATAGTATTAAGAATAAGGCAGAATTCTCAAATACGATCAGGTACATGAATCCTGGAGGCCTGAGTGAGTGAGTGAGTTGGGTTTAACGCCGCTTTTAACAGTATTCCAGTTATATCACGGCATGTCAGCTTAATGTGGGAGGAAAGCCCGAAGTGATGCAGGTCTAAGACGTTTACCACTTCGGTGAAACCCACGAGCATGGGTATGGTGCTGACAAACCTAGAAACCTAATCAGGGCGAACCAGGATTCGAAACCACAATCATAGGTTTCTGGCGTGCCCAAGGGACGCAGCTCTGCACAGCGTATCGCGGCGCCTTAGACGACTGGGCCACCCGTGCCCCCCCTGGAGGCCTGAACAACCTGCTGCTGATGCAGTCTGATAGTGGGTGCAGCTCACCTGAGTTGGTAATCCTTGATTAGCTTCTTGGCCTTGTGGTACTTCTTCTCCAAGGCTGTGAAATCAGCCTTCATTTTCTTTTCAAGCATAATGTACTGGCCCTGTGATCCCTCCATTAGATCCTGGAAAGCATGGGTTTATACGCAATGTAATTCCTTAACAAGCAGTTGCTTAAAGGAATAAGCAAATGAGTTAAAGTTATTTATTAAAAAATGGCAAATAACCATGGTTTTTTTCCATTTTGTCTGTCAAAATGTATTACCTAGATACAGTGTCCAAAACATCTGCCTGCCCACCTGCCCGTGGCTTGTTACTTTTCTGTCAGGCTGCATGAAATTTTCCTCTACCTGCCTGACTATCTGGCAGATAATTTTAAAACAACTCACATATTCAGTTTTATGATAACTAACTTGTAGATTCTCAAGTTATTGTTTGCATCATTTCATCTGAATCAGGACGTCTGAATGCGGACAGTAACTTTATAGATTGGTAGGCAACATTTATGGGTCACCTGCCCAACTGTCTTGTTGGGTCTTAAAATTATTTCAAACACTGCCTAGCTATACAAAAGATTGCTTTTCCAATACATTCCTTATATTCCAAAGGGTACTGGACATCTGTCTTGTTCAACTTCAATACATTAGTTGAACTCCACATCATTTTGTTCCCTATACACGACTGTATTTAAGTGTCGGTCCTACCTGGTAGTGAGCCAGCTCCTTGCGTGTATTTTCATGGGATTTCTCCCCCTCCTTCAACTTCTGCGTCAGCTCCTCATTCTTCTTCTCTAGCTGCTTCCTCTGTGTCTCCGCTTTGTCCAGTAGGATAATCTGGAGAAGGAGAACATGGATATAGTACAACACTGGTAGTCTGGAAACCCTGCTTTACAGACATCAAACAATACTTCCCATTGCTAATAAAGTTCAGAATACCTCTATTACAAAACTGCCATAATCCTGTATTTTTGCTGTCAAGACACTATAAATAAGAATTAGACTTTTCAAGTCCACTTCACTGTCAGCTGATTCTAATAAGTTTTTGGAAAATAGTTTTCCTTCACCCAGTCCCGAAACCCTGCACTCTAGTTGAGAAATATACATAGGGATAATATCCATGATTTGAAAATCTGTTAGTTAATTCACTTATTGCATTAGAGGACTGATGCTTCTTCCCGTGAACTTTTGCAATAAAATCCTTTCACAACAGTTGGTTGACAACAAATTTGTATGACATCAAGTGTGTTCAGGAATGTTGCTTCAATACAACAGACATGTTGATGTCGCAAGAAACATCTTACCTTTGCCCTCAATTTGGCCAACTCTGCATCAGCAACAGCATTCTTATAGTGAGACTGAAAATGAAAGATGACCTTTTAGTGGAGATATGTTTGAGTTTGTTTGTTGCTTGTTTAATTCTGCACTCATAAAGATTCCAGCTATATGACCACAGGATGTAAATAATCAAAACTGGACCAACAAACCAGCGATTGAAATAATGAGCAGTGATCCACGCTGTTGGCGTACAATGACACGCTATCACATTATCAAGTCAACGAGCATGACACTATCAAGGTATCAACCTAGTCACCAAGCATGACGCTATCAAGGTATCAACCAAGCATGACCACCCAACCATTATTACGTCACCTCAAACAACAAGGGTAGGTAGTGTGGGACTTATCTTTAACCGGAATCCTCATGAAGAAGTTGCCTTAGTACACTGAATTCCATGAATATCATGGCAGAAATACTTCAATGCCAGTAGTGTGGAACTTTAATATTCTATGGTTTAATTTAATAATGGTATACATTGCTATGAAAGTATATTTCTTCCAATTCCTTAGTTAAAACTTTGCTAAATCGAGTTTCTTACCTCCTTTAACTTAATAAACAGTGCGTCTAGTTTCATTTCCGGCGACATGGAGTCACTACTGCTGTCGGGAAGCTCAAACACCTCCACAGTTGGCTTCTCCAAGTCGTCCTCGGGGGAACTCATGTCACTGTCCATCCCAGATGGCATAGACATTGGAGTTGCCTCCCCTGCAGCAGGTGCCCCCTCTACCATGTCTAATGATGTAGCCTTTTCCTGGTCCTCAACGATGCCCTAAACACAAATGGAAATGATTGATTGATTGGGTGATTGATTGATTGGGTGATTGGGTGACTGACTGACTGACTGACTGACTGGGGTTAAGCAGCATATTATGTTAGTTTAATGCAGAAAGAAAGCTGAAGGTGATACAGGTCCCAGACACTTGCCACTTTGGTGAAACCCACAAGCATGAAATAACTTGTCTATATATATATATCAAACCACACACATATTTTTTCTTATGATGAGAGCTTTTTATAAAGTATTAATTTTTCAGTTCGAAGTATATGATAACACAATTTGGTACACTCACTTCAATTTAAAGTGACTGAGTTTGGTTGTAACCGTATTTCAGTTATATCACAGCATGTCAGCTTTGAAAAACCAGGGAAGAAAACCAAAAATGATGCAAGTCTACGGCATTTACCACTTTGGTGACACCCCCAAGAATGTGTATTGTTTTGACAAACTACACACAAATCACAAATTCCTAAATTTTGTATATTTGTCAAGGACATAAGGACGAGTGCCAATTTCTACCACTGCTTTACATCTAAACAATGATGCAAATAACTGCTTAGATTCTTTTGGGAACAAGAAAATTTAAAAATTTATGTGAACTAGCAAATTTTCAATTGAGAAGTAGTTACGTTAAACAAAAGATTGGCATTCCGGAAGTTGTTATCCATAAAGTTGTCTGTTTTTCTTTTCTTTAAATCCAAACAATCATGCAGGTAACAGCTAAGATTTTATTGAAGAAAATTTACATGAAGTAGCACATTTTCAGTTGAGAAGTAGTTCCACAAAACAAAAGAGTAAATATAGGAAGAAATCTTTTCGATATTCAAATGTGCTGCTTCTATCACAGTGTCAGTGAGTGTACAATGTGAGTATTGTAAACGAGTTCAGCGTAACCAAGTGTTCTAACCAGCTTCAACCTATTCACAAACTATCAATGGATTTCAAGGATTTTCCTGGATAGAACGTGAGCACCTCGACTCAATTTAGTGTATAAGTAGAGGATGACAATTGTGTAAATCACACATTCCTGTCAATTCCCACCTTTTCCGACTCTGACATGTGACTTTGTTCGGGCTCCATCTCATCGTGATCCTTGAATTCGTGTTCCAGGACCTCATCTCTGGGCACCAGCTCCTCCTTTAGCCGCATCCTCTCCTCCTCCTTCCGAATGCGTTCCTCGTTCGCCCGGCGTTCCAGTTCCTGCCTCCGTAGGTCCTCCCGCCGCTTGTCCTGCTCCAGCGACTGCTGAATCAACCTGGCGACCTCACTCTTGCTCGGGTCCTTCTCTCGACCAATCAGAAACCTGGCAAAAGAAAGATAGGAAATATCAAAACCAAAAATAAAAGTCTGAGTTGGACAATGAATATCTACAATAGAACCATTTCCTATACTCTACTAATGCTACCAGACCAGTGAAAAGTGGTGACTTGTACTTTGCTCCCCAGTGAACAAAACACCCACCAAAATTCTGGACTTAATTTCTGACAAGCTGGATTTAGCTCACCTAGTCTATTGTTGATTACACAATTACTTCTTGCACACATAACAAAGAGATTCTAGGTCCAGCTAGTTGAAATACTGTGTGTTTACTGCAGCACTTACTTGACAGTCCCTTGAGTATTGCGGAGAACATTAGCAGCATAGGCCTGGGTGACCCCCACTAGGCTCTTGCCATCAACCTCGATGATTTGATCATTCACTTGAATTCTGAAAATCAAATGCATATGCTAAAACAAAACATTTTGGGGGAAAAATTGAATTTCTGCCTGCAGCTACCTCCATCATCCATATTCTGTTGCTCGGAGCCAATGCTAACTGAACATTCAGGTTGCCTTGTATCAAAGGTCATCATCAACACTGAATAAACAAATCAGAAAATATAATCTTGCATGTATAACAAGTGCAGATTGTATATCAGTGAAATGCTGTGCAAATGTTATCAGAGCAAACAGTTGATGTAGATATTAGGGTCCCCTCCCCCCTCAGCACAGATTGATGCAGATATTAGGGTCCCCCCCCCCCTCAGCACAGATTGATGTAGTTATTAGGGCGCCTTCCCCGATGCAGATCTCTGGGACCGCTGCCCCACCCCTCTCTGTTACCTTACCCCTCACCACTAAGTATCTCCCCACCCCTCCCCACCATCACCCCTCTCTATCTCTCCAACCCTCTCTACCTCACTACCCCCCCCCCTTCCTACCTCTCCACCCATCATCCCTCTACCTCCCCATCCTGAACTTCATGGTTCCGTCCGTGTTGCAGATCACCGATTACAACTTCCTCATTACATTTCCTGATGTTGATAAGTTAATCTTTGCAACAATAGATAATACAGCCACACAACACTCCATTGCTCCATAGCCTCAGCAAAGATGAGTGCATACAGTGCAATTAGTCATGCATACGTAGTGAAACAAGAATTAGAAAAAACTGGAAGTTTTAGGACAATCAAAACTACAGTGGGGCGGTCGGGTAGCCTAGTGGTTTAAAGCGTTCGCTCGTCATGCCAAAGACCGGGGTTCGATTCCCGACATGGGTACAATGTGTGAAGCCCATTTTTTCTGGTGTCCCTCGCCGTGATATTGATGGAATATTGCTAAAAACGGCATAAAACCATACTCACTCACGCACTCAAAAATACAGTGAAACTGCATTGGTCTGAAACCTTTTGATCTGGAATCTTCTTGGCCCCGTTCCACAAAGCCAACTTAGCGCTCAGGTGATCGTAACTCCCATACTTTAACATTGGCTTACGAGTGAGTGAGTGAGTATGGTTTTACGCCGCTTTTAGCAATATTCCAGCAATATCACGGCGGGGGACACCAGAAATGGGCTTCACACATTGTACCCATGTCGGGAATCGAACCCGGGTCTTCGGCGTGATGAGCGAACGCTTTAACCACTAGGCTACCCGATTGGCTTACAATAGTCGTAGCACTAAGATTGCTTTGCGGAACGGGGCCCTAGACAATTGTTACTTGGAATTCTAACCTGTGTACAAACAATATTACTTCTCTGTTCACGGTACTCTCCCTTGTTTACAGTTGTTACAATGGATCTGCCCCAGCCTATTTACTGGAGTAAAAGTTACAACCCAGTTAGGAATCTGCATTCCATGGATAAACTAATTATATCTGTTCCAAGTGTCAATGTCAGGACCACCTATCAGATGATAACACGTGGGGAGATTCTTGGTAAGAATATTGGTCCCTAGCAATGTTGGTCATAAGAAGCGATTAGGCGGTCAGAATCGATGCATGTCATCATCATGCAGTATTGGGTTGAAATTTATTTCCTAAAAAATCATTCTTGAAAAAAATAACCGTACCAACAAAAAGATGTTTCAAAAAACACATTTTCAATCAAACAGTCTGTTTTTAATCCTTCTTGTACAAACAAAGTAGGCTGGCCTATACAACAATATAGTATTCTGGTCATGGCGATATCAATACTGGAATTGTCTGGATTTTCCGTTCATTTGGTGATCACATGACAAAGGGGATGCTAAGGGACAAAATGGCTACTCATCACTGAGTATATCATGGTGGCATCTCGATATGTACACAAAGTCTACATCCCCTGGATAAAAGCTTGTTACAGACAAGGAATTGGAGTCATTTGGTGAGCAAACGGGTTGCAATGTCAATGTCAATGTCTTCCAGGGTCTGCTCAAGAATGGAGGCCATTTTGTAACAATAGCGTGTCCTCTGTCATGTGATCAACAGGCAGAATCATGGGAGTTCTTAAGGAGATCTTTTCTTAAAATACATGTGAAATTTCACATTCTATTTGCTTTATTTAAATAGACATGGAAATTCTTCTGAAACAGGGAATAGAATACAGCTTAATCTTCTGGTTTGAGAATAAATCTCTCATGTCTTTGCATGAACATGTACTTCCCCGTGTAGAATACATGAGAAACCAAATGGTTTTATTATCCCTTGGAGAGGTGAAATGTGAACCGTGATCAAATAATTTCATGGTCAATTACAGTTTCAGACAACCAGCTTTCAAAGTATCTAATCCAAGCCATTACAACGCAGTTCTGCTGTAATTAGGTGAAGTGGAATATGTGACAGGAATGCTGGTCAGCTGGTCACGGTTCACTCAGGTCAGTGTTTCAACACGAAATCCAACTGAACCCATACCGTTTGTCTGTCTCCCAGACCCTACAGAATATTTTCAAAAATAAATCCAACTCAAGTCTAGAAAGATTTGGCAAGTCTAGATTGCCTCGGCTCTAATGAAATTAGGCATTGTTCTGGGCTACATTTGGATTTGATTTTGTTGATTATATTATCAAAAAGATTTAACCCCTTTTTCTAAGACTAAATGTAAGTCTAATCTTACTGTGCATGTTGACGATTCAGACAAATATAAATTTATATTTTGGATTTGTGGTGTTGATATAATACTCTTTTAGGTCATTTTGTGTTTTGAGCAACAAATCTGACAATTGACTTCCTGGTTTTGTACATATACATATCTTTGTGAAAAACTACACAACTTCTTTTTTGAATAAAGACAGACTAACGGAAGAACATAACTTTAACAGTTGTATCCCATTTGCGATAAAAATTTCGTAATTTGTGATTTATATTTGGTTTCTGTATACAATAAATCTGTTTCCACAACAAGTTTCTTCCAGTTGTTTACTGTCAGCTACAAAAGCTCATTCCATAATAATTTCAATGATGTTCATTATATACTAAACAATAAAAGTTGGGGATAATGAATATTGGGGGGGGGGTGGAAGTTTTACAAAATTGTGTTCTCAGTCTTTACTACAAATACATATCCCCCAAAATATTCAAGATCCCTAACTTTCTTTTTCAGTATATATCCAGTGATTGATATTATGAGCAAAGTTCTATGCTGTCAACAACTGTCAACATACTGTCAACCCCCATTCTATAACACTGCATAGGTTGCTGAGCATCTATGCTAACCAAAGGGTTGGTTGGTTTGTTGTTTTACGCCGCACTTAGCAATATTCCAGCTATATGACAGCGGTCTGTAAATAAGCGAGTTTGGACCAGACAATACAGTGATTGATATCATGAGCATTGATCCGCGCAATTGGGATCAATGACATGCATCAACCAAGTCAGTGACCCTGACCACCCGATCCCGTTAGTCGCCTCTTACGACAAGCATATTCGCCTTTTACGGCAAGCATGGGTTGCTGAAGACCTATTCTACCCCGGATCTTCTAACCACAGGGGAGTCCCAAGAAAAAGAAAGGCAGAGCCAACAATACAATTTCCAGGAGCCATTATGCCACAGCAGCCTCACAACAGATACTGGTGCCAGGCACCATAACCAACCTGGAGTCTCTCTGAGCGGCGCCACCTTCAGTCAGTGTCTTGATGAAGATGCCAAGTTTCTCCAGACCAGCATCGGCGCCGACACCCATACCGATAATACTGAGACCAAGTCCCTCCGAACCTGAACACAGGGATAAAATTCAGTTATATCATTAATGTGTAATAAAAGATGTTTTGAACAGGTTCCATAGAGCTTCCTACATTCTCATATCACAGCTCTCAGTTCTCGTATTCCATGTTCTAACCATTACCAAGATTACATGCTGCAGATAAGGAGTCGTAAGATAAGGGTTGTTTAAGAAAGTAGTGTCTGTGAGCTACCAGGATGCCATTAAAAATACCTAAAAAATATACTACTGATAATTTTATACACCATAAGGGATGACAGTGGGGCATTTGAACTTATCACTAGGTAGTGGTGTCATTGATTGGAGGGTCGGTCGGGTAGCCTAGTGGTTAAAGCCTTCGCTCGTCACGCCGAAGACCCGGGTTCGATTCCCCACATGGGTACAATGTGTGAAGCCCATTTCTGGTGTCCCCCGCCGTGATATTGATGGAATATTGCTAAAAGCGGCGTAAAACCAAACTCACTCACTCATTGATCGGAAAGTTTAGTATAGATACTGGACTCAAACGTATCACAATATATCAACAGATCCATCAATAACAAAACTAGTTATTCTCTATGTGTATAGATAAAAAAAAATCCATTTAGATATGCAATTAATCAACCTAATGCTAAATATGGTTGAGTGAGTGAGTCAAAATTTAACGTCGCATCAGCATTATTTCAGCAATATACTGACAAGAACAAGTTGACATACACACAAGCGAGTCATGAATACAAGCTAAATATTTAAAAATGGATTAAATGTTTTAAATGGAATTTCCTGCCTTCTTATTGTCCATCTAAACCATGGGTATTTTAAACAAATGTTAATATTTCTGTGGCAGTGAATTATTGATTGAGTCTTGATAAACAACAATTTGTACTGATACAGTATCAACATTCGAAGCCGGAAGGGATAGAGGCCTTCAATGTTTACACTTTGGTTAAACCCACGAGCACAAGTATAGTGCTAACACCATCATCAATTCTAGATTGTGGAATACATATGTTTCTGTTGCATTTAGAATACACCACAAAATCAAGGCAGGTATCACCTTTCTGAAGTTCCACGGGGAAGACATCCATCTTCTCTACCCTCTTCTCCAGCTCATACTCCGCTGACGCCGCCACTGGGTCCACGTCTTCATTGCGGCGGTCGTAGTCATCCGTGGAGTATGTGAAGAAAACCTGCGACCATCAAGTACATGGGTCAATCTGCTAGTCTCATTCACAGATGCTGTAAGATTTTCAGCTTCACAGGTGATCTGAAGTATCCATGAGTCTGTGGGGAGATAGCATCTCCACAACTTCCCATGGAACAGTAATACCGACCCACAACTAATTCAAGTAATTCTTCCCCCTAGGATGATCTGGACGAAGATATAGTCTATTAAATCTTTATTATTTCACCCATATCTGCCATCAAGAGAGATTGTGGTGCAGGAATAAGGATGATCATCTGGGTAGTGTTTGAGGTCACTGTGTGTAGGAACAAAATCCTACATACGGTATGCAAAGTGTTGATAGCTAAAAACAACCAAGACCAGACAAGTTTATTTCTTCTTTTACCAATTTGTTTCGATCATTTTGCCAAAAGATTATTAAAAGAAATGTCAGGATAGATTTGTCATAAATTTCCAAATTTAAACAAGAGTCATCAGGAGACGACATATCCCCTCAGTCTGACTACTAATACACCAGTTTTTCAAACTGTGGGGATAGCAACCATGACCAAGTTTATTTCTTCTTTTACAGATTTGACTTGATCATTTTGACAAAAGATAATGAAAAGAAATGTCAAGATAGATTTGACATTAATTTCCAAAATTTAAAAAACTCATCAAAGAAAAGTGTTAAAAACATGTACATTTTACACCCCTCTGTAGAACAAGGCAACAAATAGGTCTAGCTAAATTACCCACAAATAAAAACAATTTGATCACGAAAATATTTCTCAATAATCTAATGAGGTCCAAATGTTCCTAAAACTTCACTCCATGTTCAAGTAAATTTCACAATATTGTGCTGAAGAATCATGTAGTAAGCATGACATACATCCTTGATAATCACCAGGGTGAAACTCTGTTAGTCTGGAACACGTTACCCTGAAAACCCCTTCTTCTGTAGGATTAATGATGGGCAAACTTACATGTATACAAAGTGACTCTGTAATCATAAATTGTCAATCAATAAATTTATCAATCCTGATGAATCTAGTGAGAATGCTACCATCCGGTTTAACACATGGTTACACTGTTAATAAAAGCCACAACTCGAATGAATATATTTCACTCACCCTGATGGGATCCCGGCTGAATTTAATTTTGGAGGCCATCTTGAAATCAACTTCATCTTCACTGCTGTCTTCGTCTGTGCTAGACAGGCCGGGCATCTCGAAGTACACAACCTCCTGCTCTCCTTCATCTGTGTAAGCCTCTCCTGCAGCAACACACAGGAGAGTGAGTGAGTGAGTGAGTGAGTGAGTGGTGTAGTGAGTGAGTGAGTGAGTGAGTGAGTGAGTGAGTGAGTGAGTGAGTGGTGTAGTGAGTGAGTGAGTGAGTGATGGGACCCACCAGAAATGGGTTTCACACATTGTACCCATGAAGGGAATCTAACCCGGGTCTCTAGTGTGACGCACGATAGCTTTAACCATGAGGCTACCTGACTGCCCATCAGAGGGCTATAGACATTTACCACTTTGTGCCACCTGAAAGCATGAGTATGGTGCTGACATCATCATCATCTTCATCATCATCATCAGATGGGATAACAGTTTTGTGAATCTGGGATCAGAACCCATGACACATGACCCTGCAGGATACAACAATCCACTGTGTATTGAGCCGCCTTAGATCACTGGGCAACAACATTGGCAGGAAAAGCTTTGATGTTTTCAACTTTCAGTTTCTGTTAAAAGTAATGAGGAGAAGAAATGAACACCACAGCTAAATGACAATAAATACCAGCAAATATTGTGATGATTAGGTTCTCCAAAATGCAAATATAAACTGAAGTTCTTGTAACTGCAAGATATACACTACGTTTCTCCATGGTGTAGTGTATACAAGACTGTATGTACATAGTACTACAGGGCCATGTATATGCTGTTTCTTCATGGTGTAGTGTATACAACACTGTATGATCAGTACTTAAGGGTCATGTATAAGATGTTTCTCCATGGTGTGGTGTATACAAAACTGTATAATCAGCACTACAGGGTCAGGTATATGCTACGTTTCTCCACGATGTAGTGTATACAGACCCTGAAGCAGTGAGTGAGTGAGTGAGTGAGTGAGTGAGTGAGTGAGTGAGTGAGTGAGTGAGAGTGAATTTGGTTCATCTATGCTTTGAACAGTATTTCAGATATTTCACAGATGTCAGATTGTGTGAGCAAAGCCCAAAGTGATGCAGGTCTTCAACGGTTTCATCCTTGTTGAAACCCACAAGCATGGGTATGGTGCTGACAAACCTAGAAACATCAACAGGGCAAATCTGGGATTCAAACCTACGATCAAAGGTTTTTGGCAATGCCTAAGGGATTGTGGTGCCTCAGAAGATGGGGCCATTCTTGCCACATTGGTGATGGTGAGGTACTGGCCTAGAGACCTATCTCCGGGGCCACTCTTGCCACATTGGTGATGGTGAGGTACTGGCCTAGAGACCTATCTCGGGGGCCACTCTTGCCACATTGGTTATGGTGAGGTACTGGCCTAGAGACCTATCTCGGGGGCCACTCTTGCCACATTGGTGATGGTGAGGTACTGGCCTAGAGAGCTATCTCTGGGGCCACTCTTGCCACATTGGTGATGGTGAGGTACTGGCCTAGAGACCTATCTCGGGGGCCACTATTGCCACATTGGTTATGGTGAGGTACTGGCCTAGAGACCTATCTCCGGGGCCACTCTTGCCACATTGGTGATGGTGAGGTACTGGCCTAGACACCTATCTCCAGGGCCACTCTTGCCACATTGGTGATGGTGAGGTACTGGCCTAGAGACATTTCTCCGGGGCCACTCTTGCCACATTGGTGATGGTGAGGTACTGGCCTAGAGACCTATCTCGGGGGCCACTCTTGCCACATTGGTGATGGTGAGGTACTGGCCTAGAGACCTATCTCCAGGGCCCCTCTTGCCACATTGGTGATGGTGAGGTACTGGCCTAGAGACCTATCTCCGGGGCCACTCTTGCCACATTGGTGATGGTGAGGTACTGGCCTAGAGACCTATCTCCGGGGCCACTCTTGCCACATTGGTGATGGTGAGGTACTGGCCTAGAGACCTATCTCCGGGGCCACTCTTGCCACATTGGTTATGGTGAGGTACTGGCGTAGAGACCTATCTACTTCCAACAGTTTAGAAATACACTTGCTCTAGAAACACGGTCACACTTAATCACCTTCTGAGCCGACATCGATGACGTTGCTGTCCGGGTCCTCATGCCCATCCCCTTGTTCTCTCTTCAGAAGCAGGCTGTCCGCATCTTCTAGAATATTGTGCTCCGAGCTGAAAAACAAACACACTGGTCAGACAATACATTCATAAGTTTCCAAGTGAACAACATGATTTCAGTGATGAATCAGCGTGTTCTATGCTGAAAAACAATATCCGCATCTTCTAGAATATTGTGCTCTGAGCTGCAAAACAAACACTGGTCAGACAATACATTCATAAGTTTCCAAGTGAACAACATGATTTCAGTGATGAATCGGCGTGTTCTATGCTGAAAAACAATATCCGCATCTTCTAGAATATTGTGCTCTGAGCTGCAAAACAAACACTGGTAAGACAATACATTCATAAGTTTCCAAGTGAACAACATGATTTCAGTGATGAATCAGCGTGTTCTATGCTGAAAAACAATATCCGCATCTTCTAGAATATTGTGCTCTGAGCTGAAAAACAAACACTGGTAAGACAATACATTCATAAGTTTCCAAGTGAACAACATGATTTCAGTGATGAATCAGCGTGTTCTATGCTGAAAAACAATATCCGCATCTTCTGGAATATTGTACTCTGAGCTGCAAAACAAACACTGGTCAGACAATACATTCATAAGTTTCCAAGTGAACAACATGATTTCAGTGATGAATCGGCGTGTTCTATGCTGAAAAACAATATCCGCATCTTCTAGAATATTGTGCTCTGAGCTGAAAAACAAACACTGGTAAGACAATACATTCATAAGTTTCCAAGTGAACAACATGATTTCAGTGATGAATCAGCATGTTCTATGCTGAAAAACAATATCCGCATCTTCTAGAATATTGCGCTCAGAGCTACAAATCAAATACACATATCAGACAAAGCATATGTTTGCAAGTTAAACACATAATTTATTTAATGCATTAACAAACTGGAAAAGGTTACCATAAAAAGGAAGGCTGAATAAAAATAAAGCACACAAATTTCACTTGACAGCAAACTGAATACTATCATGCAACCAGCACCTCTGATTTCATACCAAAAAAAACAAGTATTTGTCACAGAGTGACGAAATATCCCCCGCCTGTACACCATACTACCAAATATGAAGACAATCCAGCGATTAGTTCTTGAGATATTGTGGCAACACCGTTTTCCAACTCCAAAAACAGATTTGCCTGCTGTGACCTTGAAAATGGGGTCAAGGTCACCAAATCTGACAGGTGTATGCGGTGTCTGTATATACACTATAGTTCCAAATATGAAGACAATCCAGCGATTAGTTCTTGAGATATCGCGGCAACACCGTTTTCTAACTCCAAAAGCAGATTTGCCTGCTGTGACCTTGACAATGGGGTCAAGGTCAACAAAACCGACTGGTGTCTGCGGTGTCTGTATATACACTATAGTTCCAAATATGAAGACAATCCAGTGTTTAGTTCTTGAGATATCGCGGCAACACCGTTTTCCAACTCCAAAAGCAGATTTGCCTGCTGTGACCTTTTAAATGGGATCAAGGTCAACAAAACCGACTGGTGTCTGCGGAGTCTGTATATACACCATAGTTCCAAATATGAAGACAATCCAGTGTTTAGTTCTTGAGATATTGCGGCAACAAACAGGTGGGACGTACGGACGGACGGACGTACGGACGGTCGTGAATACTATATCCCCCGCTTCGCGCTTTCGCGCGGCGGGGGATAACAAAAAAAACATATATGAAATAGAACTAATATGCAAATGAAAATAAATACCATAAGAAAATTTTTTATTTTCAATTTATTTAAAGTAAACAATTCTGTCAATAATTTCAACTCTGAAACACCTACTAAAACACTGCCTCAGTGTGTGGTAGGGGCGTGAAGCTGAGCAACCAAAGCATGCAGGTCCCAGGTCGTGATTATAGGACCTGAGGCAGGTCTTCAACACAGCAAGCCAAGTGCTGGATACAACATGTCAGATTCACTGATAACTTCCTCCCAAAATTAATGGCTGCCACGCATGATGCCTCCCCATTACACTAACATGGAGCAGAACAGTTCACCATGGTGTGTAGGTTGATGAGTCAGGATAGGCTCAAGTCATTACACTGCCAGGGATGCTACGCTCATTGATAAAGCCAGAATCCCTAAATAATCTTGTCCGATCTGCATGTCTGTTGTAATCAGGATGTTTGGCAGAATGACCTTGCTAGATTACAACCATATTTGATTCCATATCAGGATGACAGTACTGGTTAGTAAATCAACATGACACCGATCGAGTGAGTAAAATGTCACATTATATTGACAACATTACAGCAATAAAGTGACAGAAACCATGATTCACAGTGCTAGAAACTAACTGTTTTAACCCACTAGTCCAGATATCGATAACAGCAAAACCCCTTAAAATGGCAAATTTCTACTAGTCCTTATGATGCCTAACTATTGGGCAGTTTGGCAAGGACTACAGGACTACAGGACTCTGTCAGTGCCAGTGTTGTTACAGAATATTAGAACATTCATTTACAACTTATAATACAAAATGTTCTATTTGTATGTTACAATTTACAACAGAAACCTGTCCTGGTACCTCCAGCTAGTAAGGATGTAAGGGCATTGATGTCAAATCATGGCAAAATACCTGAACAAAGATATTTTTTTTAAAAAGTAATGAAAAGAAATTATATATTCATAAAAGTGTCATGTTTTAAGTCATTTTTTCACATCCAGGAATATCCAATTTAGTGACCCTACCACAGAATTGTTCCAATTTTAATATCCAAAAGCATCTGATTAAAAATCTGCCTGAGGTTTCTCTCCAATGCTCCATTGCGTGTTGGTGAAACTGGTGCATTACCCCTGATATTTGCCATGCTTCCAGACTGAGTGAGTGAGTGAGTGAGTGAGTGAGTGAGTGAGTGAGTGAGTGAGTGAGTGAGTGAGTGAGTGAGTGAGCAGCAATATTAGCAATATTAGCAATATTAGCAATATTCCAGCAATATCACGGTAGGAATTTTCCAAAATGGAACAAGTTCATAATCCCCTTTCTTGTTGCAATTGTACCCAAATAGGATGTTAATACATTAATTCTTATCCAGTTCTTGCATAGAATTAATACAATTAAATACATTAGGAGTAACTCCCAAGGATCCCAGAACGCGTTTTATTTATCCTAAGTATCTTACACCCCTTCAGTCCAACTACAAACAATTGAAAAATACTAAGTCTTTAAAACAGGCCTGTTCACTTCACTGCTGGTGTTTTCTTACAAGTGACACACGCTCCTCAAGTTCCATGTCTAAGATTTGAGTGTGTCTGTATTAGCCCCTGCTACCGCTGCCGCTGCCGCCACCGCTGCTGCTGCTGCTGGTATACTGGCATCTGTGGCACCATGTGCAGGCCATGCGTACATGCCACAGTGTATACTGCATCAAGCGGCTTCATTCATACCAGTCTGGTCGGAGCTATCCAGACACAACACCACTGAAACATACCTATCAGACTTACCCAAGTCTCTAAGGAAATGATTATAAGTTTAAATTCACAATTCATAATTCCTAGACTATAAAAATTAATAAGAATAAGTTGTCCCTAAAAGACTGGCTGTCCTGTCGGCATATCTAGACTTTCCTATTATAAGGATAGAAGTAATATCCATCCATGGATATATCATGCAGTACAGCCTTGGAGCAAGGCTACATACTTATGTCTGGGATGCAATACTCTTTGTACAGTGTAGATTACTTGTAAAACATTTAGGTCTACTGTGGCACATACCATATTCGACGTAATAAACGCCCCACTTTAATAAGCGCCAACAGCGATATTTGTTAACATATTGACTAGTGAACAATCCCAATTAGCACCCCTTCCGATTGATCAATGTACACAAGACTTATTTATTCAGGTATAATATGCACTCATGTGTTATATGCACCCTTAAAAAGGGCAATTAAATTCTGGAATAATATATCATTTCAGGATGTCAGCATAAACCACGAAATTTATCTTTCAACTGTTTTTTTCACCAAAATAATATTCTTAAAAGAGCCCCCTATTTCGAATTTTGAGAGCGCCCTGGGCGCTTATTATGTCGAATATGGTACTTGTGATTACAGTTTTTGGAACAAGGAGAGGCACAGCTAATAGTCTGGGTTTGAAAATAATTTTAGTCCACATAAATTATCTCAACTGAGTTGCCAACTACCTACTATTAAAAGTGATACTGATAGCCCACAAGGAAATGTCTCTCCTACTTAGGTTTGGGTCATGTGAATTATTCATATCTAGCAGCAGCTGACAAGCCAACACATGTTCTTCGGAATAATTTTTATTAAATTTTAATCTGAACACATGGAGAATTATCAGCCAAGATTACAAGACCAATCTTACATTATCTCGACTGTCTTTAAACTAATGGCTGAAGTTTCAGACTCAACTGTATACATCAAACGTCTTTTACTGGAATTGCAAATAATAAGAATTTAAGAATATTTGAATGTTTAAAGAAGTTATAATTTGCATGACTATCACTAGGTCACCTGTCCCAGCCTCGCTAGACTTCCCTTGAGAGAAGCCCTACTTCTGACATCATCAATCACAAAACATGTCTACATAATTAACATACTGCACTGTTCTCATGCTGTAACACTAATCCATTTATAATGCTCAACAGATGTGGCCAGTTTCATATGCAACAAACCCAATATCTCCCAAATACCATTTTCCAATACTACAATATTAAGAATTTTGCACCGAAAGTCAGTGCTGCAAATTTATAGAATTCAATCTTCTTGTCCCATAAAGAAATATCAAGACATCAAACAGACATAGCTTAGAACGCACTGTGACTGATACTCTTGATCTTAATGTCCGTGTTTAATTGTAAGTCCTTACATCAAACTAAATGAGAAAATAAGTAGTGAGGACAACAGCATTTAGCCCTCCAGGCCCTGAGTCAGCATGGAGCAATGGTTTACATCATGGTTGGTCATTTCCTGGTTTGTCTTGTGCCTGGTTGATGGTGTCATGATAGAAACCATATGCAGAACATACTGGGTACAAATACTCAGTCCAACTTTTAGTGTTAAGTGA